GGCAGTTTAACTTGATTCTGAGTAGTATGTCAGGAATCCTTACATGCATGCGAAGGTCATTTATGAACAGTACACGCATAGAAACAATTTGAAATAATATTTATTGAAGGAAAAAGGCTTTCACACCTACATATATGAATTACACTGAACATGAATATTTAATCACATTTATCTGGTATATTCATAATTCAATTTCTGTATTTTCTGTGATTGATACTGGTTCCCATATTTATTTTTTATACAGAAAATTAAACTTGAACTGATTATTTTCTACCAGAATTAGCTTGAAATATATCTTATTATTTTCTAGAACATGACCAATTTCCATACTATCGGGATACTCAAAGGCATTTTCTTAAGTACTGGGGATGTTGAAAAATTCTTCCAAGAATTATTTTTCAGTCATGAGTGTTTTTTACTGAGTTGTCAATTTAATTCTTGTTGGCTTCTCTAGCTTTATAATACTTAGTTTTTAGTGTTTTATTTGTAAACATTCGAGTGTAAATCTGTAAATCACCAGAATGGAATCCACAGATTATTTTCAAAATTAATTAATCTTTAAAGAAATTTATACACATTTCATTTATCTTTTTTTTAAAATTATATAGATAATATAGATTAAAATTAGGGTCACTGTTGACCAGCATTTTCAATGATATGTAACACTGACACGTGTACCCAAATAACAAGCATGATTGATTTTCTGCCCAAAGGCGATTGATTGAGTGATTGATTGTATATTGTTTAACGTCCCTCTCGAGAATTTTTCACTAATATGGAGACGTCACCGTATGCCGGTGAAGGGATTCAAATTTTGACCTATACTCGGCACTCAGGGCCATTGAACAGTGAGGGATCTTTATCGTGCCAACGCCTGCCGCTGACACCGGGCCTCGGTTTTTAAGGTCTCATACGATGGACCCGGAACATTCAATTCAAATTGCCGAGTGCATGGCGAAGGAACAGTTGCTTCCCATTTTTTATCGACTTAGGTCAGTCGCGGCCGAGATTCGAACTCACGACCTCCCGATCACGGAGCGAGCGCTCTACCGACTGAGCTACCGTGAACGGTCCAAAGGCGATTGAAACCGCAGGTGTTAATACCATGTTTTATACACATTAATCGGCCAGGTAAACACATGCAAAACAAAAAAGAAACAAGAAACATATTGACGCAAGCGTCAAAAATCGGCCGCAAACAAATTACTAGTAATTCTTCCTTTGATAAAGTAATTCGAAACTGAAATTTGCGTGATCTGTTTTTAAAATTTCTTATATTTATCTGTTAAAATATCCTCGTACCATGAAATACTTGCATGAGACATTGTCGATTTTCTTCATGCATAATACATGTACAATATTATATATATGTGTAAGCAAACTGCCCATAGACCTCTGCGTCCCTACAAATGAACTCTGGTGGAAGTTTGATGTTTAAGTAATTATTACATAAAAGTACAAAACTAAAGTTTAAACTTAGCTATAGTTTTACTTTAATTATGAAATATGTGGGACTCTGTTAGAGGATTTTAACAACCCCCCAAATCCATCTACCGGTAGATCCACCACTACATTTCTTCTTTCAGTCTCTTTGATGTGGCGAGAAAATGCTTGGCACATTGTAAAAACGCGCTTTACCCTAGTCTCATGGACAAAATTGTCGAATGGTTCTGTGCTTTTAAGAAATCAATATTTCATAAAATTTTTGAAAAATGTTCCATAGGAAATGTATAAATATACACGGCATTTTAAAAATAAGTACAACAAATCCTGTCTAGGCTGTTTAAAAAGAGAAAGTAAAATTGTTGATATACAATGTGGTCTTTGTTTTAGACTACGCCTACATAAGGCACTTCGTGCTAATTTTCTCCGCACTTCAGTATTGTCAGAGTTTGTCAATCAGGATTGGATGAAATATTTACCCAATTATTTATAAAATTTTATTCTATGATTATTGTGCTTTTTGTTAAACATTTAGAATATCTTTGTTCAATATTTTATACTATGCATGTTATTAAATATTTTTTATTCAAATTGTTCTAACTCCGCAGAAACGCACGGCGACTTAAAACTTTCATATCAACTAACCGACCGCCTCCTGGCGGCCGGTAATAAATCACAATTCCTGGTATTTTCAACTGTTTATTTTTAAAATAGATGTACATGTACTTTTTTGATAACTTGTTTATAAATTAAAAACTAATTCATTAAGAAATTCCCCAATAATTATTTTCATTGTTTATTTTACGGAAGAATGGTAGCATAATTTTATTTCATGTTCATTTGATAAATTGTTATGTTTTATTGGAGGATTGTATAGAATACTCTTTTTTAAAGCATTGTGCTTGTAAAATGTGTAGCCCTTTTAATTAAAAAAATCTTATATTTAAGTGCAATCATTTTTTTAAACAGTGCCAATTCATATTTAGAGTACATTATTTTACGTTAAATAATAAAATAGGCCTACATATAGATATTTTTCTCATAAACCTGTAGTTCATTTTTGGGGATAAAAAACCTTCTCTTGACTTCCTTATTTAATAAACTTTATTTTTTTCAAAAAAAATATTCTTAATTACTTTTGTGTAAAGATACAATCTCCGAAAATATTAATAAACTATAATAATCTCTACTTATTAAAAGATTGTAAGAAATATTTTTTTTTTCATATTTTAAACTCCTCATTGCCTCAAGTAAACAAAACAACTGGAGCCTGCAAATTCAGAATACACAAGGGGGCGGAGCTATCATGTCACTCAGAATCTTTCACACATGAGTGAACAAAGCAGTCCCAGAAAGCAGTGCCAGGGACCGCTGGGACGGCTGGGTCTGCTTTCTGAGCAGTCCCATAGCGGTCCCAGAGCAGTGTCACAGAGCAGTACAACAGCAGTCCCAGAGCGGTCCCAAAGCAGTCCCGGGGACTGCTTGGGACTGCTTGGGTGTCAGGTTGGGTCTGGTCGGTACTGTAAGTTATGCATTCATTATCATTATTGACCATGAAGGGAAAAAATGAAAGGAATAAGATTTTAAATAGAAATTTTGAATAATCCTCGGTATAAATCTAGATTTAACCAAGAAAGTTTTTTTTTCGGGCAAAATGTTCTCTATCGTTTTAAAGTCAGAGCAAGACAGTCATACATGTACACGTAACATCTTTAAAACTTTTACCATATAACCAAGATATTACCAATGGAATGCGCACATTATTTTTAAGGAAAACTGTTCTTCGGGCTGTTTGAAAACCTTTATAGAGTGTTTAGATTGATTGACTGATTGATTGATTGTTTATTGTTTTACGCACCATTTACGTACCATTCGAAAATTTTTCCCTCATGAATAGACGCCGCCGTATACCGGCGGAGGGCTTCAAATTTTGACCTTTACTCGGCACTCAGGAACATGAGCAGTGAGGGATCTTTATCATGCAACACCTGTCGTGACACAGAACCTCGGTATTAAAGTCTCATACGAAGGACTCGCAGCTTTAATTCAAGTGCCAAGTGCATGAAGAAGGAACAGTGCTGGCCATTTTTCATCGACTTAGGTCAGTCGCGTCCGATCGCGAGTTTCAGTGGACTCACGACCTTCCAACCACGGAGCGAGCGCTCTACCGACTGAGCAACCGTGAACAATGTTTATAGCTAGAAGAGAGGCGCCTAAGATTGCGACCATACATTGCAAATGCTCTCAGGTGTCGACAGATATTCAAACCCTTAATGAATTATAGGGGTTTCCTTCTAAAAATCCATTATTGTACAAACTTTGTATTGTTAAGACATGTATCATGATAAAATCAACAAATTTAAAGGTTTACACAGACAGAACGAGAAATTTTTATCATTCTTGAAGATTTTTTGGATCAAAGAGGTGATTATTTGATATATTAAACGTTAAAGACAATTTTTTTATTGAGTTTTAAAAAATTATTAATTTCTGCCATAAGTTAACCTTTAAAGCTATTATTTAAGGTGCATATATAGACACAGATTTGAAGATATTTTCTGTATAATATTACAACTTATATATTTTAATTACATTTCACACAAAAATATATTAAAAAAATTTATTTCGTCTTAAAGTTATTGAAACTTCAAATTACTGGATAGGTTTGATTGACACATCCTTGCACTCTAAAAGATTTTACTTTTATTCTTAATACTTACTAGGAAAAGCGGCAATTTTGTTGTGTATCAATGAAAAATATTAAAACTTTAATCCCGAAAAATAATTATATTCAGAGTAGAAATGTTAGGAAGCGAAACTCCTTCACAAGTATCGTCATTCCGCGCTACACATGTAAGTGTTGTGCACAAAGTTTAGCAAATGGATCACACCCTTGAAACGTACACAGTTTTTGTAAACAGGGCACGAGCTCTGTTATTGTTGATGTTAACGATTCACCGGGTGCGTTCAATTGTTAAGGTCTGCTCATGACTACTGCACGGACTGACAAACTGTTTTGCTTTCGAACATTTCTACTCTGAATTTTTCTGGATTATAGTTTTAATATTTTTCATTTAATTTCATAAAATTAAAATCTATAAAAGTGGATGAATGTGTCAATCAAACCCGTCTAAATATTTGAAGTTTTAATAACTTTTAGATGAAATAAGATTTTTGATATATTTTTGCATGAAATGCTTTTAAAATATTTAAGTCGTAATATTATACAGAAAAATATTAACTTCAAATCTGTGTCCATGCACCTTTAAAGTCCTTTTGCTAAGTAAATAAGATACTTTCTTCAGACACCCTGCACTCCAATAATCAGAAGTTACAGATAACTACAGATCTGATTAAAAATTTTCATGTTACAATTTCTTTTTATCTTAAAAAACAGTGCAAGAATGTAAATTTCATGTTTTGAAACTTATAGTCTTTGTTGAAATGATCATATTGTAATAAGCATTGAATTGTACAATGCTTATAAAGACTAATGAAAGTAATACATGTGTTATCTATGGAAAGGGCTTGATAGATTTAATATTTTACTTTTATCTCAGATTTACCTGACTGTACCTGCCTTCCTTTCTTCCCCACAGTATTTTACATGATCTTGGCAATATCAGTGGAAGCAATACTCATCTGCATCCTGATTGGTACAACTATCTTTTTTGTCAGGTGAGAATCATACAAAAAAATGAATTGTCTAGAAAATATTGACATAATGAACGGTATCCAAGCTCACATATCGATTTTAATAACACAAAGCAGGAAGAGATCGAGCAAACATGAACCATCCTAGGTTGCATCAGGTACCATGGAGGAGTAATCATCCCCTGGTCATTGGTCATTGCTCATTTATTTATTGAATCATTTTCAATACAACAGGAGTCACTTTTCAATATTAATGACATAAAAGTTCAAACACACATCTATAATAGCATTTAGTGTATAAGACTTGTAACTACATGTTACATGTTATTGCCTCTGTAATCTAGACTGTTTCGTATTTAAAAGGTCAAGGGTACACAGTTGGAGCATATATTCTTGTCCTCTACCGGAAAATACTATATCTCTGGAAACACAACAAGAGGAGGATTATACCTCATTAACAGAAAGAGTTCAACTTCCTTGCTGCGAAATGAATAAATGATAAAATAATTAAGATTTTACTCAAGGACGTTCGATCCTGAAATTTTGAGCGTAATTTGGTCAGGTCCTTTATTTACAAAGTTCCGCATCATTTTTAAGTTCTAACATTAAATCTGAATTCTACAGTGCAAATTTAACTATATTCAATGAAAAAACAGCGATTAATTTCCATTCAAATAGAATTAAGATAGGGACTATATTTTGTGGCGGAATGTTTTTTTAGACTAAAATGATCAGTTTTTCCATTTTGAACTATAACAGTACTGTTAATTTTGGATTCCTATTTTTCCTTCCTGGTTGCACAAAAAGCTGTTTGGGTTTTTTTTGCAGTTAAATATGTTATATGCTAGTTCTGAAATATCTATTAAATTATTTCTTATGTGTTCTACCAACAATGTGTGACAAATATAGTAAATATATTCTGAAAATCCGGGAAAAAATTGAGCCAATTTTAACGTAAAATTGACACTTTTTTAGTAATATCTAAAAATTTACATTATATACCCCCGCTTTTCATGTTCTTTTTCTAAATATTTAAGATAAATATGCCCTATTTGCTTAAAATCAGAAAAAGTTTAAGACTTTAAAATAATTTTCTTGCTTATTAAATTTTCAATGCCAGAAAAATCACTTTTTACTTAGTGCAGAAAGGTCAAATAATTGATTATGCGAAGCAATTTAAAAGTTTTTCTTAGTCACAATCTTTAAGTGTCTTTTTTAAAACAAACTTAGAGTTTTTTTGTTTCATGCTTAAATTGTATAAAAATATTGGAGGGAAAAGGTCAGAAATATAATTTTTAATAAAGACACAAATTTCAGTGCAAAAAGGTCATATTAAATGTACTGTAGCGCCAAAAGAAGCGTATTGACCCCAATTTTTTGATTTGATTTTTAATTAAGCTATGTATGTAGAAACTAAAATAAACTTGGCAATAAAAGTTTAAGACTTTAAATATCAGGATCGAACGTCGTTAACAATGTATAACTTTGCAAGAAAATTTAAAAAAAAAAACAATTGATATAACTATATGTATTGGGAATTTAGGCCATATGATATAAATATATGGATGCCTGAATTAAAACATATTTTTTGACCTATTTTGATTCTAAATGATGCCAATAATAAATATACAAAAAATATATATAGAAATCAGAAACTTTCTGTTGTGTATATTCAAAATTCTACCTTTCTGCAATGAAATTTAGGAGGTAACAAATAGTATTCAAGCTCAGTTTTTTATCAATATAAACAACTTTTTGTCACTCGAAATATCAATATTGTGAAACTTTGAATGAAAAATAATTAAAATATAGATATTGTGTTTAATCTTTTTTTGATTTACTTATACAAGCATGACTTAATCTGTAACTTTCTATATTTTTTATTAAGTTTGCTACAGCTGTTTTGTCAAGTACATCTAATTGTAAATTTGTTTTGAGGGTTTAAAGAAAAAAATCGATCCCAGTTTCACTATCTGTTTGAATTTCAGACAAACGTGGATGAGTACAATTTAAGATTTTTTTTAATGATTGTTTAGGTATTCCTACACTCTGTCGCTTTCACTCATTTTTCAAAATATAGGGTGACCTTTGAGTATTGAACCTCTTTACTATTAAATGTATCTTTTAAACAGTGTAAAATACCCCCAAAATGATGTCTGTCAATCGTGTCTTAAAGTCAGTCAAACATAATCAGTGATAATTTGTTGAATTTTCCATATATAAAGTGATAGTTGTATGTCCTTGTCGCCAAGGACGGTACCCATTTTTGATGCCCATTATATCATTTTTGTTCATTGAAATCCACCTGCTCATGTCTCTATAAAACAGGCAATGATTGCTGTAAATTTCCAATATTTCGATTAATGTTTCTTTGAGATTCTTAACAAGTTTTACATCAGCTTTAATGAAGCATTTAATTTCACTCTAATTTACCGATTCTTTACCATTCATTTCTAATGCAGTGTCTCGAATAGCCCTTGTTTTCCAGCTTCCCACAATGAAACTATGTGATGTAAAGTGGTCACATAAACTGTTATCAATTCATTAAAGATTCAATAATGAAAGAAAATCAAATTAAACTTAATGTCATATGATTTCTATGTTGTATGTCATCGATCTAATGACATTGTTTATTGAACAGCCCTCATACGTGTCGACCTGTCACATCCGCCGTGTATTCCCTGGAAAACGGAAAAGTCTAGAGACAATTCATGAAAATTGGTAGAACAATAAATATGAGGGTCTTTCATTAAGTAATGCAGTATGCTGTTCATCATAGTATTCAAGTTTATTTTTTTCTATGTTCACTAAACTGAGCTGAAACTTCTTTTTAAATGACCAATGCCAAGAAGATAAAAATGAGAGAATAAATGAAAATTGTCTTTTTTACACAATTTAGAGAAGAACTAAAATCAAAAATATGTTTTTATATGAAAAAAAATAACGCGCTATATCTAGTTCTCAGATAGATTCAAAACTTCAAAAGAAAAAACGAACAGTATTCAAAATCAAAAGTCCATTAACAATACAAAATAAGATCAGTGCAGAGCCAACACGGACCTCCAAAAAATCAGAAGTGGGGTTAGGTGCCATGTAGGAGTGAGCATCCCCTGCTGACCGTTCACACCCGACAAGTGTTCCTCGTCATGATAGGAAAATAACGTAAAGAAAAACTGTCCATAATTCAGTGTGTAAATAACGACCTAACAATCGGGAAGAAATTCGTCAGTCAACATTTGACTCTAAGGTAAATCGTATTTGCTGACAAGGTCATTGTATTGACCATAGAGCTCTTTCGACAAAACTACTGATATTCTTGTTTCAGCTACTTGTTAGTCAATAATTTACCTCATTCATATGTAGATCATGCTATCGCATATTGAATCAACTGCGAGATATAAACACGTATGCAGTTGGTGAAGATATATTGCTGCATAAGTAAGGTAAGTTGACGATTGAAAAATCAAAGTTATTACGATTATCATAAAGCTTGGTTGTTAGATGATCATTAACATCCTTTTCAAGTAAAACTTCTAAATATGAAACGGATGTGTCGGACTATGTAGTATATTTTATTAGAAGATCATCGGAATACATTGTATCGACATAAGAATTGAAATAACAATAGTTAATTGGTAATACGTCGTCGATATATCTAAATGATGAGTTGAAGGCCACAGTAAGTGTTTTTTTATATATAAGACTATGAACACGTTCTGCTTCATATGAATACAAAAATAGGTTTGCTTATAACGGGGCGCAATTGGTACCCATGGGAATTCCATGAGATTGTTGGAGGACCTGGTCTCCAAAAACCATATATAGTAAAGTTAAAATAAAACAGTTAAATGAGTTGATTAATATTTGTGGGTACACCACAAAATATTGCTGCTGTGTGCCACATGATAGAAAATAACAGATTTACACTGAAAAACATTGTTGAGATACAAAATATTTCATCACCATCGCATTTTGTAGAATCCTGACAAATGGAAAACATAATAATATTTCTATCAGACAGACTTTATTTCAGTTTATGAAACTGTAGCAAACTCAAAATACCTTTCGATATAAAAAACAAAGAATATTCATTCAAACGTTGTACTTTTCAAAATACACTTTCACATTTTATTCCTGTCTCTTATTTAGACATTTCGAAGAAATTGTTTCCATTTAGGCTATATTTAATTATTTATAACCTTGGTAACAGTTGTTCTTAATGCATATTATAATCATAAAGATAAAAACTTCCCTTTTCAAGAGCTATTATAATAGTTTTTTAGACAGCTAGACTGTGGCCATTTGTTTTGAGTTAAATAGTTCATATTATATGCATTTTTGCATTTTGTATGATAGCTAGACAAATGAATATCGTTAATTGAGCTTAAATACTCTTAAAATTCACTTCAATAATGAAACATTCAATATAAAAATTACATACAAAAAAAGGGACATTTTTAATATTTCATGGATATACGTAAGATTTTGCTTGTTATTATTAATTATATGAAGCTATAAAGTTGAATTTCTATGTTTGTTTGCCAAGGCTCGGGAACTAAAAAACACAACACGTTGGATGAAAATCATATTCAAGCACAGATCATGAGAGATCCTATATTAAATTCTTCAGTATATTGTTTTGGTTTGTTTTTATATTGTTTTGGTTTGTTTGTTTGCTGTTTAACGTGCTCCGCTTACTGGTGGAAAGTTGCATTTTGACCTTCACTAAGGACCATTTAGCATTGAAGCATCTTTTTCGTGCCAGCACCTAGCACCTACTGCAACAAGTGACCTAAGTTACTTATACGGTCTCGTCCGAATGACCGGGGACTATGATACAGCATAAACAGTCGATGCTTCCTTGAAGTTTGAAACAATATAAAAACTATTAAAATTAATATACATTAAATGTATACCCTACAATATTGCTTAAACGTAGATAAGTTAAAAATTGTTTGTTTTTTTTCAGACACTAATACATCGAATACCTGATATATGTGACAGTGAGCTGGTTGTTCTAACTAGTTTCTTAATGTTATTTCACTCTTAATCTCGAATTCTTAAATACGAAATTTTTTATGCTTAATGTTGGTTTCGTCAAGATTTTGATAACAAGAGTCTGCACAAAAATGAAGATCAGTACATGTATGTCAAATATTAGTAAAACGTGTCTTAAATACCTCATATATTATATAACAACTCTCTTGTGAAAGTATATGTAGACAATGAAACATGCTTAGAGAAATGAGAATCGTGACTATAAATGGATAACAATATGAAAATTTTAACCCTTATTTTACTGATCATAAATGTTTTGAAAGAAACACCATTCTATGCTGACAATACACAAGTCTTACTAAATTTGATCTCTTTAAACATAGAAAGAAATAATATTTTTATTATTAAAGATATTTTTAGATCTTCACTGTACGCAAGCACTTCATTTACTTTATATCTTTTGTTTTGATAAGGTACTACTGGTAGTGTTGGAAAAGAAACCAAATTCAATTTATTGATTTTTCAAAATCTTTTGTTTCTTGCATATTAAGGTTGATCTGTCCTATTTGTTAAGATCACACCATAGTCCTCTTGTTGCATTTCCTGTGCTGCAGCAGTACATGCGTAAATACTCCATCTTGTTACCCTGGACCTGTAAAGTAAAGGGCAACTTTTATATCACAGTGACAAAGAAATTTATCTATAAATCTAAAACAATGCTAAGTGGTTGTCATACCAGGGAATATGGTTTGGTAATAATAACATTCTTGATTATCATAGCTTTTTCAGCGCTATGAATAAATTATCTACTTTAAACCTGGATAAAAGAATAAAAGAAAATAAAGATTATTCAGTATTTACCTTTTTACGAAATAAACAGTTGTACTAAAAATAGCAAGGAAGCAGATAACTATTCCTACCACAGATATCACCAACATTATAATAAACACCGAGGAAAAGAAAGATATGCTGGGAGTTTTCTCTTGATCATGACTGACAACCAAATCTGCGGTAAAAATTAAGTGTCAGGGCTCAAGTTATGTCATAGAAAACAACTAATTATGTTTTGTTTTATGACCATGCTGCAGTAACACAATGTAAGATTCTCTTGATTTTTCATACATGTACTTGACTAATAATTTAATCAATCTTTACCTTTTCATGTTCAGGGAAAAAATCAAGGCTTTTAACTTTTCAAAGTTACAAATAAAAGTTAACAACAACATATATAATGCACCAGATTTTAATTAGATATGACTCGATTTCAAAAGTGTGCCTTCTGCATAAAAAAAGTACTTAAAATTATGTTCCTGGGCACATACTAGTTCTATGCTCATCATTTACAGGTTTTTAAATTCACCATAAATAAATTTGCAGTACTTTCATTACATTACATTCTTATGAAAATGCACAGTGAATGTTCATGACAATATAGATCTATATATTAAGAATCATACTTCTCTCACTAGTTGTTTCTACACAGCCATATTGCTTATCACAGGTGTCTGTACATGTGCAATTTTCCTCACAAAAACGACCATAAAAGCCTTTTGGACAGTCTTCAGAGCAGTTTACTCCATAGGACCCTGGGGGACATACTTTAAAAAACATTTTTAAGCATGAGTTGATGTAGAAATATATTTCGCCTTTTTTTAGGAAACATTACAATGAAAAAAGGTTACTTTTACACAGTTTTTCCTATTGATATAGAATTAAAGTGTATACCTTCGCAATTACCATTTACTTCAAAGTAGCTAATGCAACATGATGTGTTTCTACAAGCAAACATTCAATCATTTTGAAACGATAAATTTTTACATGTATACTCTAACAAACATTTTCAAGAAACCTTATCAACTTAATATAATCTTTAATATTTAAAAGTTATTAATTTTACCGCTGATGACATTTTGTTAACTTTCCTAGGATACATTTATGTTTTGTCCATTATTATTCTACTGTACAAAAAAATTAATATAATCATTTTACAGCTTTGGACAATCTCCAAGTGTCCTTGATGTATTGATTTTCTGACAATTACTGGAAAATAAATCCAGGGCAATTAAGAATTTAGCACAACAAACAACAAATTTGTTCGACGCCATTTGTAATATGGTTTATATCATGAGGAAAATGTTTCCTATATACTCATTGCCTTTTCAAGGATGCATTCTATTGTATTATTGATACTTGAAACCATCGGAGATAGATATGCATGAATTAAAACATTATTTCTTTTATTTCTTTGAATACGAGGGATGATCAAAAAGTTCGTCAATTAAGGTCATACACAACGTAGTTTAAACTTTATTTGGTTCTTCCCTGGAGTTGAAGAGTTCCACTGGATGAAGGACATGTGTGTAATATTTTTAAAGTCTATATATGGATCTGTACACCTCTACTTAAACAACTTTTGATGAAAAAAATCTGGAATTTATGTTTTTGTAATTTTGGTACATTTTTCCTTGATTAATTCAAAAAATTTTAAAATTTGATATCTTTTCAAAACCCCTGTTAACGTATGCTGATTTTTTGTCAAAGAACATGTAATGGTAGTATAAGTTTAAATTTAGAATATCTTGAAAAATTATCAGTAGGTTAGGTACGTTGCGTATGTCCTTAACTCTATGTCTACAAAAAGCACAATTCAGATTAGACAAAAATTAGCCCACAAATAACAATAAACAGGCTCTATAAATAGCATATGCTGAATAAAGTTTTGCTCCTTGTTTGTGACGTCACAGGGTGAAAACGACGTCACTACGTAGGTCACTTGTGACAAAATATGGTTGTCTCAGTCGTACTCATTAAACGAACATATGTAAATTTTATGGTATACGAGGGGTATCAAAAAGTTCGTGGACTGAGGCTATAAAATTAGTATTTTGTAGTCTGAGCTTACAAAATTTTTATGGAACATAAAACAGCAAAAAACAAAGAAATGTTGAAAATTTTAGCTTGATACATTCATTTTTTCCCAAATTATTATAAAATAAACAATACATTATACAGGGCTGGGCAATAATATCGATATTTCAATATATTGCAATACAATGACAAAGAATATCGTATTGCAATACGATTTTGTAATATCGATATATTGGCAATATACTTAGATTAAGGAAATTTGTCATTAAAAATAAAAATGGACTTATAAAAGTTTGTTATTAAGCCAAACAGTAAGTCAGAAGTTGTTTTGTTGGAACATTTCAGAGCATAACTTAACTGAAATCAACAAGATTTTTTTCCATGTTGGTTACTTATCATAGTTATGTACATTCTGCATGTAAATTAAAGTAAATTTAGTACGAAAATGCCATTTTTATTACTTGAAAATATTGCAATACATATCGCAATACGGTTTAAAATATCGCAATATATCGCAATACGAAATCCGGGGTCAATACCCAGCCCTAACATTATATCATCACCCGGCGCCGTCGCCGTTTAGTTTTATGACGCCCGACAACGTCATTGTTTTTCAATGCCTGCTTCTTCTACCTCATACACTTATTTATAAAAATGGATTTATGCAAAGGAAGACATCCTCGCTTGATTGTGCCAGCATATTTTGCTTTTTGAAGTTCATATCTACAACACATGATCAACGTCATTTTTGACGTGATTGATTTTTCACACCTTGACTACAAATGGACATTAACTGTGCATCCCTTTTCTCTCTGAATCTATTTTAGCATTAAAAACATTAGTACTCTGGATGCATATTATTTATCCGTGGCCAGTTTAAACATTTCCTAGGTCTATACCATTTTTTTAGGGGCAAAACTTTATAGAATGTTGGAATAGGAATCCCCTCCCCTTTTGACTCATTTTCCAGCAATATTTGTTTGGATACTCCATGTAAAATTTACGATAAAATTTCATGGAACGTTCAGTATGAGGTAAAAATTCCATATTTTATGAAACAACAGTGTCCCAACTCATACCTGAATTAACGGGATTTTTGGGTGTCTAATGTTTATATCAAAATGTGTTTTAATTAAACAATTTGCTATCAAAGAACTCCAATTTACATTTTGAAAAATAGTTGAATATTTTAACAATAATATAATTATTAAATGCCTAAGATATCGTTAACTTTAGATTATAAACATAATAGATATGATAAAAATGAGGCACTCATTCTCTATCCACCTTGAATAAAGGTCTCTCTCAAGACAGAAGACCGCCTATATCACGTGATTAGCGCATAACAAGAAAGGTGGTAGATGTGCATTTAAAAAATCATAGAGGACTAATTTAAATATATAGTCAACACTGAAACTAAATATTGTTTTTTTATGGAAGAATTCAATTAGTTCGCGAACTTTTTGTTCACCCCTCGTACATGAAATAATCTTGTAAGACCAGGCTCAAAGTATAGAGGTTTCGGAACAAAAAAGCAAAACATTTAATAAATATGTAACAGAATTTGACACCTTATTTGACACCTATAATTATAAAGAATATGGAAAGGTCAAGTTAAAAAAGATAAATTTAAATAGCTCACTTTTATCCTAATATTAATGTGAAATCTTATTTATGCCACACATATTAAAATTATTATATAGGCCTATTGATTTTTTTTCAACATATACTGTCAATGACATATTTTAAGGGGCAATATCCCTCTGCTCCAAATTTCACGACTTTTTTTTTAAATCCAGACATTGATTTTCAGTAACAACAATAGCATTAAATTCAAATGGAAAATAGTTTGAAGTCTGAAGCGTTGCTTACTTTTTCAGATATGAATAATATGTCAAATCATGATGTGAAGAAAATTTGATATGGTAAATAGAAAGAATAATTTTTTTTTTATCTCACAATTAAATTAGAAATATGAGGTATATATAAAAATAATATTTACTCTCATACCTATCTAATTCCCATTAGAAAACATACTGAAGCGCTGCTTTTTAAATCAGAATAATAAATTGTTTTCTGTGCATGTAAAATAACACGCATCCATAAGCAAGAGTTATCGTTACATTATCGCCCTTGAAAATATTTTTAATGAAACAAAATATTAATTAACTGTTTATAAACAATACTGCATCTGAAATTTCTGTAAAATTAAAAGAATTATACTTTAAAAGATAGAGATTTCTCAATTTACACTGTTTAAAGGGACTGAGTATAAATGTTTTAAGTAAATTATCATAAATAATTAATAAATATATTAGCGATAGAAACTAGAAATCAACATTTGTACAATAGAATAGGTTTAATGGATTTGACTATGAAATGGTCCTTGTGAATGAAACTTGTAAACTCTGACATGACAATTCACTGAATTTCATGGCAAAATATCTGAAGAAAGTTTTCTTTCTTATCAGAAGAGTTATCTCTCTTATCAGAGGGATATTCCACCTTAAGACAACATTACAGTAATATACTGGTATCCCACAATTAGATTATGAACCAAAAACAAAAATTTATTTAATGTATATATACTGCACGTAAATAACATTAACATGACCTTAATATAAATTTTAAAAGACATAGAGAGTACTTATGATTTTAAACAAGGTTAATAGAGGATGCAGGTGCAAAACGAGGAAATTACCCCTAAAAAAGTACTTGAAAACTATCAATTTAAAAAGTGTGCAAACACTACAAATGTTATGATACATGTACAAATTAAACACAAACCACTTTACAAAACCTAAAGGGATACAACCAATCTTGTAATTATATAATTAACAAACTGAGGTAATATCCCATCCCAATTTGTAAATTAGAAATAATTTTAATGAGATGTGATGGTGTTTTTATTTATGAAATATTTTAAACACATTGTGATAAAATGTTGATCTTTGTAAATTTTGTGATAATTTTGTAGCCCAATGTATTTTTATAACACCTATCACTATATTACTTAATATGTACAGTCATGTATGTTATTGAACGTTCCTTTCGTAAATTGTTTACGCATATGGAGACGCTACAATTTGCCCGTAGAGAGGTGCAATTTTTTTTTCTATACTCGGCACTCCGGTGCAATGGAGGAGTAAGCATCACCTGCCGACCGGTCATACGCGCCATGTGCTCCTTGTCATGATCGGGAATTAACGGGAAAATCCGTCGTCAATTCAGTGTATCAATAATGAACTTACAATGAGGATGAAACACTTCAGAGAGCATTTGATTCAATGATAAACTGTATTTGCTGACAAGGTCATTGTATCGACCATAGAACTTAGGAAATAATTACTTTAAACGAGACAGCTGAAATTCTTGTGTCGTCAACTTGTTAGTTATTTTAGTAAAAAAATATCTATTTTTGCCCTTTTGAACTATATATGATGTACATTACTGTTAATATTACAGTGTAGATTCCTGCCTGTCCATGCTGGTCACACATAAAGCTGTTTTTGCAGTGAGAAGCGTTATTCAGGTTCTGGAGTTTATACATTATTTCTTATGAATTCTTTCAACGAATTGTGACAAATAGAGTAAATGCATTTTGAAATTCTAGGAAAAAATTGAGCCAATTTTCACATAAAATTGACACTTATTAGGAAAGTCTAAAAATTTACATTATATACCACACTTTTTATGTTCTTTTCTGAATATTAAGATAACTTTGTCTTCTCAAAATAGACCTATACATGTACAGTGCAGTTTATTTTGTTCCATGATTTACTTGGATAAATATATTGGAGGGAAAATGTCGAAGATGTATTTTTTTTTATTAAGATAGATTTCAGTGCAAAAAGGTCATATTAAAAAGAAGCATATTGACCTTTTTTTTAAGGAATGAATTTAATAGCTACCCATTTTATACGGTATAAACTGGGTTGGGGCAGTTTACGCTTTATAAACCCGCGTTTATAAAAAAGCGTAAACTGTTCCAACCCAGTTTAGACCGTATAGAATGGGTAGCTATTAAATTCATTGCTTATAATTTAATTTTCATTCATTTGATGTAAGAAAAAAAGATGATTGTTGTAACAAAATGACTTCAATTTATACAACATTTGAATGTAACGTCAGGCGGATTGATACGTTTTTGACGAAAGTCATATTGTGACGTAGGCAACCCATTTTATACGATATAAAGTAAATTTTTTATCCAATCAAATACAGCATTACAACCAGAATTAAATTATTATTGTTTAAATAACCTGTGTGTGTAGAAACTAGCAATATACTTGACAAAAAAAGTTTAACACTTTAAATATCATGAGCCAACCTCGTTAATAATATATAATAGCTCTGTTGTTCTACGCAGTACTTTCACTACATATTTCTTTGTAAAAATGTGATACCCCATCTTGAACCCTCCCTGTCTCCGTCGGTGCCCGGAATGACTTAAACAAACTTTACACTACTTAGGAATGCTTCCACACAAATTTTACTAAATATTCATAGTTTTTCTGCTCTTGAGAAGATTTTTTCCTATATTCCTATAATGTGAAACTTTGATACCCCTTTGTGGTTCCATCCTACCTCTAAGGGTAAAGATGTAAACAAACTGAATCACAACATGAGGATGCTTCCATAGTACATATTGTACGTCTAAGCAGGGCATAGGCGTCGGAAGCAAATTGAAGGCGGGGGGGGGGTGGGGCTAAACCAACCAAAAAAAAGTTACCCCCAATTTTCAATTCTATATTATGTATATATTTGCAAAAAAATGGGGGACTAAGCCCCCCCCCCCCCGGTTCCGGCGCCTATGCAGGACTTCGTTGTTCTTGAAAAGACTTTTTGAAGATGTCTTCCTTTATACGCGTATGTGAAACTTTGATCCCCCTATAGTTGCCCTACCCTTCCTTCCAGACGTCATAATTTGCTCAAACTTGAATCAACACTGAGAATGCTTCCATATTATCATTATGACTAAATAAAGCAGGTCTGTTATTGAGATTTTTTTTAAACATGCCATCAAATTTTCCATTCTTAATCATCTCCCTTTGAATGAGGGAGTGGCCCTCATTTGAAATAAAATTGAACTACATGTACTTTACCCAGGGATGCAAGTTTGGCAAAAAAGTCGAAAATGTACACATGTAAAAACGGAAAGACAGCTATAATAGACGGACTACAGACAAAATGTGATCAGAAAATCTCACTTAATTGAGCTTTCAGCTCAAGTGAGCTAAACACGTTAGGTTAGTTGAACTTTAAAAAAAAAATGCCGGTCATCAGTTTGAATCTACTCTAAAAATCGTTAAAAAGCTTAGCAAAACTAAAAACTATGATAGAGAGAAATTGAAGAGAATGCAAACATATGCACTGCATTTGTGTGTGAGTGTGTGTGTGTGTGTGTGTTCAATTTGTTGGCATGATCAGGTGCTGTTATACAATCGGTGAGATCCAATAATTTTTAATCTAAGAATGCATTGTGGCAACACACTTTGAAAAAAATTACGCACTTTGAATTTTTTTTTTCAAAGTGCGTTAAAATTGGGACAAAATCAACGCACTTTGAAAAAAAAATTCAAAGTGCGTTATATTCGGGACACACTCAACGCACTTTGAATATTCTTTTCAAAGTGCGTTAAGAGTGTACATCAACTTTTTTTTACAATTGTGACATTTAACGCACTTTGAAAAAAAATATGTATAAAACAGAATACTAGACGTAGATTTTAGTAATTGATTTGAAATCAATATGTAATAATTATATCTTTCGAAAACCTTTTTTAATTTACGTGTATTGATTTACCCTCATTGAGACAAGGAGAAGACGGGTAGGAGGTCTCTCAGCTCAAATCTCTTTTTCTTATACATAGCCGTCGGTAGCAAATTAAAAGTGCCCCATCCAAGGTAAGCCCCAATTGCAAAACAGCCTAATCCCCCCCCCCCCCCCGGTACCGATGCCTATGCTGCACCCAAATACTAGTATATGCATAACTGGTGTAAAGTTGAAATTTTCAATAATTTTCAGTTTACATTTAAGTACAGTAAAACATATAAAGGAGAAAGAATTTCAAAGTATGGAAAGATCAAAACCGTCCACTTTCACATCCTGAAGTGACCTTATCATCGAAAAGTTATTCAAAAGGTTCAACTATGTATCATACCTAGGATTTGCAGGAATATTGAACAAGATATTAACGCACTTTGAAAAGAAATGTTATTTTTTCAAAGTGCATTGATTTTGTCCCAAATTTAATGCACTTTGAAATTTTTTTTCGAAGTGCGTAATTTTTCAAAGTGGGTTGTAACAATGCATTGATATCAATCATAAAAAAAAGTTCTTTCGCATCAATACAATGATAAATGCATAGTTTAAAAAACTACAAAAGATGACTTTCACATTTTCAAGGTATTTAATGTATAACAACTTTATTTTGCACACTATAAATGAAAGGTCTGATATTTTAAATCAGAGTGTAGCATTTGGAAGTAGTTATCCAATGAAAATACAATACGAAAGGAAAGTCATAAACTGTGCAATTAATTTATTTTTCTTTGAATTTTACATGGCCAGTGCATGTGTTATTTAAGATATTTAAACAAGTATTTGAAACTTCATTTAAATCTCTTGGTGAAAGGAAATATATGGAGACAACTAACAGTGCTCAAGCTCAAAAGTCTATCAAACAATATAAAATAGGAGCAGAGCAAAACAAACCTCCAAAAAAACTCTTTCTTTAAATCAAAATATGAAGTTTTAAATTAAAAATAAATCATTTACCACAAATATTTTAACAAAATCTTTCGTAAAAATACACTGATGAACTCCTTACAGAGTTGAATCAGAGTCAACGAAGATAATTAATGAGAGGCAGATTTCTCATTTTGAAGGACCAAAATAGTATCATATGAGTTTTATTACTGATCAAAATCAAATAATATTTTAGTAACATTTTGATTTAAGATACGTTTCATTGATGCATAACAATACTGGAAAATACGTTTGAAATAAAATTAAATCAGTTCTATAGTTTATCCTGTGTTCCTATTTCCGTTCAATATATATCTAGAATTGGGAAACAAAAAACACAAAATGAATATTTACACATAAATTTTCATTGTAGAGGGACTCTGTTAACAAAGACTGTCATATTAAAGGGGATAATCTTTGTGAAGTGTGTGTGTCAATGCAGAAAAAAATACTTTACATAGCACCTTAATTGAGTTTTTCAAAATAACAATCACAGATAAGCTTATTGAGATGAACAAATAAGTACATGAAAAAAAATACCCTATCACAATATATTGCAATTCGGAAGGCACAATCAGCAAATTAAAGTAGGATAATATTAACTGGTAATCATAATGTCTAAACTTATTCATTTTTCCTCTTTGATCTGTACTTTATTAAACATGCCACTTTGCCAGCACCGGTAGCTAATCCCACAACATTTGGTGACTGCAATAAAATAATATCAATGAGAATTAAGAATAAGGAATGTCTCAGATGTCAACTAATAAAAATATGAACTTAAGGTAATTCCACCCTCCGATGATGTCATAGGTCTTTGCAAAAACTTTGATTTGTTTAAATTTATACATAATAGAACAGTATTTTTTGGTAGAATGCTCTACAATAGTTGTAATGATAAATATTGTTAAATATAAGAATTTTAAAAATGAATATTTTCTTTATCAAATCAATTATTCAATCTTTAAAAATTTTTACAAGGGCAATAACTCCTTCTAAGGTCCTATCATTCAGGCATTTGCTAAATTGTACTTCTAATGTAAAATAGATTCCCTGATATTCACAATTCAAAAGTATTTAATATGAAGGATGTATTTTGGAACATTCAGCATCAGAATTATGCATTTCAACAAGTTTTTTCATATTTTTCCATAATACTGTTTACAAAAAATGTGTGATTTTTTATGTCGACATACACTTCTGTTTATTTATGTTTCGCATCTTAAATAATATGGTGACCTATACATTTTTTGCAATAATTGGAAAATTTAAAGTATATTAAATGAAAATAAATGCAGTTTTTGTACTTTGAACCATTAAAATTGTGAGGGTGGAAACACCTTAAAACTGCAGTGTGAAAGAAAAATCAATTGAACATATGTACCCATACAACAGACTTAACAACTGAAAGTAAATTAATACTAGCTGTTATCTTTTGCATAATGTATCTCTCAGGACAGATGGATGGACTACAGCCAACATGTGATCAGAAAAGCTCACTAGCTAAAACATAGGTAATCAGAGATTACAGAGCTCACCTCAACGAATGTTGTCTTTAAGTAAGGCAAAGTCACACAATTAACCAACAAAAAGTATACATTCCAAAAATGAAAATATTTTTAAAAGCAATTTTGATCTGATACTTTGAAATAGACCTACATAAAAAATTTAAACTACTTCTTCTTCATGAAAATGTAATGAAAATCCAGCATCTGAAGCAAATTTGAGAGTTTTCACCTCTTGATGCAGCATTTGTGCAAGTTTGGTTTATACAATGTTATATAAGCCTTACAGTTTTTGGTAATAGACCTGCAACCATAACTTTTACCTTGTCTATTATCTGAAAAATGTATGTCCAATTCAGCATCCGAAGCAAGTCCATTAGTGTGCATCCTTAGATGTATCATCCATGCAAGTTTGCTCATTATAGGGCTCATAGTTTATTGGAAATGAAACATGCATCAAAACTAACATTTTCACTCATCCACAAAAAGTAGGTCAGATTCAGCTTCCGAAGCAAGCCTGGAAGTATGCATCCTTAGATGTATCATCTATGCAAGACTGGTCATTAAAGAACTCATAGTTCCTTGGAAATGAAACCTGCACCAAAAACTTTTAACTATTCACTCAACCGGAAAATGTAGGTCAAATTCAGCATCCGAAGCAAGCCTGGTAGTGTGCATCCTTAGATGTATCATCCATGCAAGTTTGGTCAACATAGGGCTTAAAGTTACTTGCAAATGAAACCTGCACCAAAAACATTAATCTGTTCGCTCAACTGGAAAATGTAGGTCAGATTCAGCATCCGAAGCAAGCCCGGTAGTATGCATCCTTAGATGTATCATCCATGCAAGTTTGGTCAACATAGGGCTTATAGTTACTTGGAAATGAAACCTGCACCAAAAACTTTAACCTGTTCACTCAACTGGAAAATGTAGGTCAGATTCAGCATCCGAAGCAAGCCCGGTAGTATGCATCCTTAGATGTATCATCCATGCAAGTTTGGTCAACATAGGGCTTATAGTTACTTGGAAATGAAACCTGCACCAAACACTTTAACCTGTTCACTCGACCGGAAAATGTAGGTCAGATTCAGCATCCGAAGCAAGCCCGGTAGTATGCATCCTTACGCAGCACAGTTAAGGTTACAGTAAGGCGGCGGGGCCTAATTTGTACTGGAAATGTTTACTATGACGTCACACATAATTATGGTCTTCAAAATACCACAAAATGAAATTATTTGCTATTTCAAACAACTGGATAGCTGTATACTACATACAAACTTACTATTGCATGCAGTTTTGTCGTCGGTTAAATCCCACACAACAGTATATAAACAATGCATCGATCGCAATGCACTTGTCAATGTGACGTCATCTCACAAAAATGACGCAGTTTGTACACAGTGAGAGGCTGATCAAGTCACATTTTGAACAATGAAAAATGTCTTTTATTCTCAAATAAAATATTATTTGCAGTAAAATAAAAAGCCGTTAACTTGGATGCGATGTCTATTTTAGTATTTTATTTATAAACAGTACGTGCATTATGCAGACAAGCGATACTGTCGTGTGTTTGTATGCAGATTCATTGAAAAAGTAATGGAAGGGCCCTAATAAATCGATTTATTGCAAGGGCATACCCTCAATGTACCTTTTAAAAATTTTACACATAAACTCAAGAAGCATTAAGATATTTGAAAAGTGCTGCGAACCTCTTGAAATCTTGCAAATAAATTAATTATAGCTATATTTAATGTATTTGACCAGCAAAATATTCAACCTGCCGTCCAACAAATATATTTTACCAATCAAAAAAGGGAATCTATATAGTTTCGCAGCACTTTTCACGAACTACATATAGTATTGAAAAGGATTATAAAATAAATTAAGATTTTTAACTTGGTTATGCCCTTGCAATATTGAAATTTATAGATGACCTCTAAACTGTAAGTATTATTGCCAAAGTCATGTGACGTCGATATCACATGACAAGTCTAAATAAAAAATCTAAATGTCCCCAACATGTAGATTTAAACCACATTACATTTTTTGATATCAGTGAATTCCTAAAAAAGAATCGCCCATCCTAATAAAGTATGTATTTTTTATCTTTAAAAATAGCCGATATTTCCATTTGTAACCTTAATTGTGCTGTGTAGATGTATCATCCATGCAAGTTTGGTCAACATAGAGCTTATAGTTACTTGGAAATGAAACCTACACCAAAAACTTTAACCTGTTCACTCAACCGGAAAATGTAGGTCAGATTCAGCATCCGAAGCAAGCCCGGTAGTATGCATCCTTAGATGTATCATCCATGCAAGTTTGGTCAACATAGGGCTTATAGTTACTTGGAAATGAAACCTGCACCAAACACTTTAACCTGTTCACTCAACCGGAAAATGTAGGTCAGATTCAGCATCCGAAGCAAGCCCGGTAGTATGCATCCTTAGATGTATCATCCATGCAAGTTTGGTCAACATAGGGCTTATAGTTACTTGGAAATGAAACCTGCACCAAAAACTTGAACCTGTTCACTCAACCGGAAAATGTAGGTCAGATTCAGCATCCGAAGCAAGCCCGGTAGTATGCATCCTTAGATGTATCATCCATGCAAGTTTGGTCAACATAGGCCTTATAGTTACTTGGAAATGAAACCCACACCAAAAACTGCACCAAAAATGTTAACCTGCTCCAAAAACATTAACCTGGTAATTCCTTTGCTGAAATTGAAGCATCTGAAACTTTGTCTGGTACAATAAAACACACTAAAACCATTTTCCATGCATGTCTAATCAGTATAGGACACAGAAGTAATTAAAAAGAAAACTGCTCCAAAAAACTTAACCTTAACCTGGGAGGCCGACGCCGACACCGACGCCGAGGGTATCACATAAGCTCCCCCCAACTTCGTTGAGGTGAGCTAAAAATGTGACAGTTACACCTAATATGAAGTATATTTGGTCATTTCACTAATCGGTTCTCCTCAAGAGATTCCCAAGTTATGGCCCATAAGAATGCAATTTCAAACATACATTTTGATTATTTTCCAGTGTTAAAGGTTACCATAAACCAACTTTTATTTGCGTGCAAGAAATATTGGCGAGTTTCGCAACCTACTTTAAATCCCAAAAATTAATCACCACGAACCATATTTTTGCTTTGTTTTTGTATAAAATATTTCCTTATTCGTGAAAATTTATCGCAGTGGATTGATTTTAAACTGACGAATCGCGAATAAAAGATGACGCGAATAATAGTTGGTTTACAGTAACCTAAAGAAGAGCATTGTACACTTACATAAATAAAAAAGTCATCTAACATAAGGCCATAAAGTAGCCACATTAATGCACAAGCAATACTCCCAACCAGCATGGAGATAGATATATCTGCTGAACTCTGCTTCATAATACAGTCTCTCTGAAAAAGTAATATAATGGGTAACAACACAGTAAACCTATAGTGTATAATGCATTATTTTAGCAACTGACAAATATACTTTGTATGTTTGTTTGTATGTTGTTTTAACGTCCCTCTCTCGAGATTTTTTCATCCATATGGAAACTCCACTACTTGACGGTGGAGAGCTGCAAATTTTGTTCTATACTTGGCACTAACTGCCATTGAGCAGTGAGGGATCTTTTCTGAGCACCTACTGTGACAAGGGATCTCAGTTTATATGGTCTTATCCCAAGCAGAAGAGATGATTTTCAAAGAATTAATGCAGTTTTACAATATTATCATCAGGGAGGTCAACATTACCACTACATTGCCAAAAATTTCAACTCATTACCGCTACATTTTCTCAGATTTTCGACCGATCATTACCGCTACTTTTTTCCGGCAAAAAACAACTCATTACCGCTACATACTAAATCAGCCAAAAGCAACTCATTACCCCTACATATCGATTTAGCCAAGTATGGTTCGGTATATGAGTTCTAATCAACAGAATTTGGACAGTGGTTGAAAGTTTTCTTCGGTTTGGGTTTTTTTTCTCGATTTTCGAGAAGTTGAAGAGTGCTTTGTTTTTGATGTGTTTTCCGAAGCACATTGAACCGTCATCTTCACTTCCACATACAATTTTGGCAGATGCGGATGTTGAGTGTGAAAGTTTTCACAAAGAGTTCGGCACAATGTTTTATAGTTCACATCCGAGCATTTTTGATTTTTTGGGCCAAGATTCAGTCTGTCCAGACAAAAAGTTACTTGAAAATGCATGCTGCAAGAAACAGGATTCTCCTAGGACGAAAAGAGAATAACAACACAGCGCAAAAAAGGGAACTGAAAACTATATACGACAGTGGGGAAATGACAAGGAAACAATATGTAAAGTAAATGGCTTTCAAGGCATTACTGACAGTGTAAAAACATTTGAAAAAACTTAAAAAACATCCTATTCAAAGTCCTACGTTCACCTACCCGTTGTGAGCAGGGGAAACGGGTCTTATGCATATATAGGTTGTACTGTACACGCATAAGGGCTGGCTAAAGAAAGAGGCAATGTAGCGGTAATGTATACTTTTTTATGTAGCGGTAATGTAAGTTATTTTGTAGCGGTAATGAAAATTTTGAAAATGTAGCGGTAATGATACGCACCCTATCATCAGACCCCCACCTTAACACCAAAACCCTTGAGTGAGGGGCCATGAAATTCATAATTTATGAAGAGGCACCCTTTTTCATCATAACTATGTACATATCAGCTTAAGCCATTTCACTACAATTAGTATTTTCATGAATGAAATATCAAAGAATTAGTTTTGGACACAAAAGTCAACTGTATTACATAGTAAAATAATTATTGAACTTACAATTTCCAGTGCTGGTGTTGCCCAGGTTACCGTTGCTATAACAAACATGAACATTCCAAGCATATTAAGGATAGCTGTCTCATGGACAACAACATGGATGAGGTATTGATAAAACGTCAGGAGTCCTAGGCCTGCCATAGTGGCCTGTGTCATTGGTTTACTCTATGGACAAAAAAAGAACTAAACATTCAATCAAGTATTTTTCTTGATATGTATGTAAAACTAGATCTCTCCAAAATGGGCAAATACCCCCTGCTCGCCTTTTTTTTCAGAAAAGGTGTCAAGAAGTAACTGACATCATAGGCTTAGGGAGATATGCAATATAAGTCATAAATCATTTTCATGATCAAGTAATTTTGATCTACTGTGTTGTCGGCATAAAAAATTCATAACAATTTCAGTCTTATTTTACAAGCTCAGATGAAGATATTCCCGTATGTAATTCAATATATTTAGGAATTTGTTTCCTATGACCTTTAAAACATAATTTCTGAAAACATGAAAATTTGGTCTACTTTTCCTGTCCCCTTTTACAGAAGAGCTCTGACAATTAAGGAAATAAATATTAAAGCTCTTACCTTTGGTTGACTGACAAGTATAATGGTTAAAACAAAAACAGCTTGGAAGACAGCACAAACCCAGTTTATAGTAATCAAGGAATTATTCTCCAGAATCTGTCCATACACAATTCCAGCAAAAGCACTGAAATTATTGGAAGAAGCAACTGTTAAGTACCCTAAAAGCTTTGCAGATAAAAGTCAACTAAACCTTCTGTAACAGGTTAAGAACAATTCCCCTGTAGAGGAGTCATCTTGCTGAAGCACAATTATTCTTCTCTAGCAGAAAGAATATAATTAAGCATCCTGGAGGACCAAGATTTATGTTCAAAGAGAAGGTACAGTTGGGGCTTTATCATGCCCTAAAAATTTAATGTTCTTAAAATGTTATGAAATTGGCAGTAACATGAGTTGAGTAGATGAATATGATAATTCATTACAGGATATGGCAAGAAGGAGGACCATTCTGGAAATATGACACCATTAGTTAGGTACATTTCAAAGTTTAATGCAGAAAAGCCTAAAAATGACTCAATTTTGTGCTTATTTTACTTTTAAAAATAGCGTCTGCCACTGTCACCCACTTCCATTTTTGGATATAATATTATATAAACTGCTTTGAAAAATCATATATCTCAAAATCTTTGTGGGCAATGTAAGCTCTTGTCTGGTTTAAATGCTTTGTTTTCTCCTTTTTTGGGTGGGAGGTATAAATGCATTTAACTCACTTCAACAGTCCTAACAGGCAGAAGATATAGTTCATCTTGTTTGGGTCCTTGGATCTGTACACAGCTATACATGCTGGTCTGCAAAGAAAACAAATTATTGATTCACATTTAAAGTTATAATTATTTATTTCAATCCTGTTCCATTTTGTCCTTGATATATGTAAATAAAAATGCCTTTTATTAAAAGAAACCATGGCAATATCATTTGCTGAAATCATAAACTGATAAATAAAACTATGGGTCCTAGTTTTGGTTGGCGCACTAATTGTTCAAAGTTGAGTAGTGTACAGATCTTTTGCCTAAGAGTGAACATCGTGAAATTACTGAAATATACTGTACATATTGTCACTAGTGAAAATGATGATAAAAAGTATGTTCTAACTGTTTATAAATTTCAATCATCCCCTCTTAGTTCCTATAATTATTAAGTGAATGTCACTGTGATGTAACCCAGCCATGGGATCATCAGAAATTGAGGGATAATTCTGGAAACATGGACTTATCACCAATTGTATGATTCTTAGGTGAACCTATACTTAATCCCTGAAAATCAACCATGATAAGGGGAGGGATATATAGATATTGTATGTATATACAGTGTTTTCCCTAAGAACTGGCTACCGACCAAATTGACCGCTTCAAATGACAAAAATGCCGCTTTGAAATTAAAAAATTTTGTTAGGTCCACAGAGATTTTCTTCATAAACCTCTGACCCTAGCCTGTTACAACTTATCCAGTCTTCACGAAAACTTTTCAAACTAACTGGCCAGTCGGACCAGTGAACTTTCAAAATTTACTGGCCCACCAAAATTTTTACTGGCCCCTTAATTAAAAAAAAATAAAATAAATACATTTTCATAACTGTAAATTTATACATGTTTACGTACTTCAACTTTTGAAATGCGCCATTTTTTGTCCTTTGTCGCGTTTCGGTAAGTTGTTCGTTGGAACTTTGCACATTTTACGTACTAGTTAATAGTTACTAGCTAGTTCTGGTTGTTATGTAATACATTCATGTTATAATAGGGTTATAATAATACGATTCAACAACATGTGCTTGTTCTTTTATTTTATATATTAATGAAATTTACGCATTGCCAAGTAAGTCAGTTAAAATATATATTGACTGTGTGTAATTTTTATTATCAACAAGCCCATCGTACTACTTGAATTTTGATTTTCACTGACCCAACAACAAAATTCACTGGCCTCGGTCTTCGGACCAGTGAGTTTTCGTGAAGACTGCTTATCTCTAACCCTTTACTTTGAAATAAAGGGAAAACACTCATCGTCACTGATATACCATAATGAACATGATGAACCCTAACATTTCCAGAACTCTGATACTAACCATTTACTTTATGGTATATACATATTTCTATTGGAAGCTATATCATTTATAATAATTATATGCATGTATGCATCATCGGGTCACATATGTAAAATTTCCATTCTTAATCGATTTGGGAACACTCAACGTATAACAACTGAATTCATGTACATGTACAGTCCAGTCCAATACGAAAATTCGTAATATTACGAAAAAACGTAAGATTACGAGAAAGCATAATATTACAAGTTATCGTAATATAAAACTTATATTACAATTTTTCGTAATGTAGTTAAATTACGAATACGCGTAATATAGCAGATGTAAGAGACTATATTACGAGTTTTCGTAATCCAAGACAAATTCAAGCATTGCAAGAAATTGAGTGGCGGGTATCAAAGTATGACGTTTACTACGAGATGTCACGGGCGATAACTTGTACGACTCTTACTGAGATTTGAATTCTGCATGTATTTCAATAACAATTGCACGAACAGTTGAATTATGGGACGAGGGTGTGGTTTTTAGGGTAGACTTCGGAAGAAAAGTAGGGAGTTCGGGTGATATAGACCAATGCGACATGCTTAAGCGAATATTGAAATTTACTGGAAAATTGGTCTTATTCTTGGGAAAATTCCTATAAAAGAATAAAAAAAAGAAATTGTCCACTCACCCATCGCTGGCGGTACTTTCTTCTTGAATTTCCATGCTTTCTGATAGGCGTAACTGACCAAACTGACCGCGTGCTATCAGTAGCCGTGAAATCTGATATATTACTGACGTCATACTTTGCTACCCACCACTCAATTTCTTGCAATACTTGAATTTGTCTTGGATTACGAAAACTCGTAATATAGTCTCTTACAATCTGCTATTTTACGTGTATTCGTAATTTAACTACATTACGAAAAATTGTAATATAAGTTTTAGATTACGATAACTTGTAATATTACGATTTTTCGTATTGGACTGGACTGATGTATGTATGCTTACATGTTTATGTGATAGCATGCCATAGTGTCCCTTTTGAATATAGATTTCTCTTCAAAAGCAGTTTAAATTTTATTCATTACAGCTCACAACAACACTATATAAATAACCCTAAAACATGATCTCTCTCTTAGTCTTATGTCTATCCACAGATTCTAAATTATCCAAATCATAATTATATTCTTAGTACAGCAAATTGCATGAAAAGGAAATCTTTGCTCTGCTTTTAAACTGAAGAGAACGTGTTTCTTTGACACAGACCTCAGATTTACTCTGGATTTACCCTGTTCTCTAGGCTAAATAATTATATAATGTTTAACAAATCATTGAATTTTTACTTATTAAAGTGTCTTTTATATGCCAAAACTTTTTTAACCACTCCATTAAGATATTAATTTTTTTACCATGAAGTTTTTAAATTTTAAAGATACTTACATGGCACTTAGCATCATGAGGTACGTGACAATCTCAGTTCCGAGTTCTACCATCCGAAATACCTCCATTTTAATAATGGTAAGCGGTGGGAGTAGACCCCTGTCACCTGTTCTGATTTCCCCGACCTTTATGGACCTTATCTAGATCTAAATGTCAAAACAGACTGACCACATGGCTTCCGGTTTTTCAAAACAAACACAAACTTCTCGTTGAGTGTGACTAAAACGGGTTGTATAACCCGAGCCGGGCCGGGCCGGGAATTTTAAAACTGAAAACCGTGATTATGCTAATTAATGAACAAATATTTAATTTTTGGCCATGAAACTTCAAAGGTTACATTTAATAATACAAAATATACCCTTACTGAAAGTTTCAAACTATGATTATCGTTCGGAGATTGTCACTGTTACTATTGTCATAACATTTTCCCGGTGACTAAAATGGGTAGTTAAGGTCAAGATCTAGTAAATGATATGTGCCTACAGATTTATCAAATTTGAGAAATAAATTCCTTTATTGATGCTTTACAACTTTAGCTTGGTCAAATAAGGTGTTTCGGGGCATAAATTGTAGGTAAACAAGATGAAAAACAGTAATTTAAACTGTCATTTTCAATGAAAAATGAAGAAAACCAGTCATGAATATGGGAGGTTTTTTTTCATATTCGACAAAGAAAATGTATCCAGATTGCCTACAGTCTCTCAGAAAACGGTAATTAGTATATTCATTGCCTCTTCTCATAGACCTAAATCGAAGGGACTGCCGACTTATGACGTCACAATCACTATCTTCTTGCGATTGCAGCGCCCTCACCGGGATGCATAGTAATGAAATTACTGTTGTCGCAGCATGATTTTTTGCATTCTTTAAGGAAATATCAACAAATTAGAGAAATCAATCACTTATCTAATCTTCCTTCCACGAAATGATCTCGATTTACTACTTCGGAAGTTATAATTTTACGCTGTGGAGTCGATGGAAACGTTTTAAATGCAGACATCAGCTGACCATGACGTGACATCTCTTGAATGCTGTCGATTATATTTTACGGTAGTACATGATTATCTTCTTATTTATTTTACAAAAATAATTTATTATCTTCTAATTTTTAAACAAAGACCAATTTCAGATAATAAATACATCGTGAACTGCTTTAGATCAACAACTTACCGGTAATAAATTGATATGTTCCCGTTATAATCACAGGCGCTTGGTTTCAGGATGGTGTATTTTGTGTATTATGCGTTTTTCTAGGTGTGTCTGAGTACCCTTAAAAAAGGATTTTTATATACAGTAAATATGACATTTTTAAAACGTGCTTATATCAGCGAATTTTTATTTTAATGAGGGTACTTTGACACACCTAGAAAAACAAGCGCCTATGGTTATAATGAACTACATATGTATTTTTTAAAAAGTTAGTAATTACTCTTTTAGGTTTTATTATTTAATCAGTGTTAATCTAAGATTGTCAATGATCAATAGAATTCATAACAGATTTTTATTTTTCCCCCACAAGGTTTGTAGATGATGTCTGCATTGCACAGTGGCACCAAACCCTATGGAAAATGTTCGAGAACATGTACCATTCCATGTACCATCTGGTGTGACAAGTTAAATGTGACAGAACAATTCAAAGGGAACAAAACAACAAAAGTGGTGTGTCTATGCAAGGAGGAGTTGAACATGACTGGATTGTTTGGAAGTCCAATTTTTTCAACTATACTGTATATCCAGAATGGGATTATTATTAACTTTTGTATATCATAACTCATATACAAACTGCATCAATATAAATATTAAATACATGTAATTTGTTATGACTGGAATGAAATATTATTAAAATCATTGTTATATATTAGACTTTTCCACTTTTTTATTGATTAAAAATGTCATTCAACTTAAAACACTGCTAATTGTCATTAATTATGCATGGTTTAGAATTGTATATGAGAGTTACTTCTTTAAATTTGTGAAGGTGATTTTACAGTTTAACAAGTCATCTTTTTCTATAGTGAGCTTATATTTTGTGAGCACTGCTTTAGATATATGGCACATTTAATGTCTTTTAAAATAATTATTTCCAGTGCAATTAATCACAACTGCTAAGTACAAAATAATAATTGCTGAGCAATATGAGCATTATAATTCTCAGTCTTCTCAACAGCTTTGAAGAACAAACACTACTAAGTTATTATTTTTTATATATATATATACAAGTTCAATTGCCACTATGATTAAACTGTTTGATCTTTTAACTTCTGCAGTTACAATTAATGTAGCTCATGCAAAACACACATACACTTGTAAATCTTATCATTTTTTTCTTTTCATGAAATTATACTCCCTATACCCCCTATACCTTGTTATGTAGTAAAGGAAAAGTATTCTTTTTTATTTAAAGAATCATACTAAAAATGGGATACAACTTTTCTTTCTTTCTTTTTTTTTTTAAAGATGCATATCAAATTTGTGAGCATAAATATTGAACTACCTTTTAGCTCTATACTAAAATTCAAACCAATAAAAAGTTTGACAAGCCAAAAAAAAAGTGTCCTTTTTGTACAAACTCGAAAATCCTATTTTTAAGGGGGGGTGGGGGGGGGATAGGATCGAACTTCTTTTAGTACCAAATTTTTATCCGAACACTACCAATTATCCATTTTTTTAAAATTAAACTATAACGTGCCTGTTGAAAGGGGGGGGGAGCTAAAACCATTCCCCAATGATCAATGTCTACATTATGTATATCTTTGAAAATAAAAAGGGGGGGGCGCCTATGGGTTCGTCAAGGAATACTCCTGTTGGTTATTAATTTCTATCTCCTTATTACTCGTGTTACTGTACCTTAATAATAGGGTGCTACGTACGTCAGCCCTGGACCTGTTGCGAACCATCGGCGTTTTCATAAATCATAAGACCTTTGCTCTTTAAAAATTCCACGCAATAAATAGGCCTATTTGTTTCTTAATTAAATATGAACGTTTTTTTTCATCGAACAGCATCTATAGAGCAACCTCGCATGTAGTTTGACAACTTCTCTGTGATCATGATGTCAGAACATCAGTCATGTTTTAGCTTTTTTTACACATTCAAAAAGAAGATAAATACCTCAAAAACTGCTCAAGGAACTCTTTAGTGTATTAGCTTAAAAAAATTGGTACATTCGGCAAAAGTTTAATTCATTCAATGCTATAATATCTCAACAACGTAGATGTAAATAACGTTATCTTTGTAATACCGGATGTTTTCTATGCATCCCGGTGAGGGCGCTGCAATCGGAGGGAGATCGTATATAGTGATATCTATTGTGACGTCATCGGAGTCGGCGGTCCCTTTGTTTTAGGTCTATGCTCTTCTTTAAGGTAGATCGCGGGTTTGCTGACGTCACAATAGGATTTGACGTAAAAAGCTTACCGCGTTCAGATAAGCAAGCAAAATATCTCCAGCAGTATGCAGCAAAAAGTGAAATAAAATGTAAAGCTTGCTTAGTGTATCTAAATATTTTTTGTATGTAATTGAAAATAAATGATGTTTTGATCAAGGCGGTCTTTTACATTACAAGTTGTTTTTAACGCTGCTATCTTCTGTGTGTACGTACCTTTCTAAAATATCATTACCTAATTGTTGCTAAAATACAAAAACAGATCCACCGAAGGCATGTCTGACCTGCAGTTTAGTATTTTTGTTCACTTTTATGAATTTTGTTTTGTTTGTTTAATTTAGCCTACGTACTTATCTACTTAATTTTTGTTTCTTTTAAACAACAATCATCTCTAGATAAATCAATATACAAAGTATCCATTTTCTTCGTGACGATGTACGCCTTTTACGATATTATGATTGGTAATATTTTTATGTGCAACAATATTGTATGACCTTAGTACAGGTATAAGATTTTTAAAACGAGAAAGAAATGGACAGTATATGATACGTAACTATGCTTAATATGAACTTTCATTTGTACACGAAATTTCTCTTACTGATGGTTTTTTTTGGAGGGGTAGGGGGTGGGCAGTAAACTATATAATAATCAACAGGAGAGACGTTATTGATTTAGGTAACATCGCCAAATAAAATATCACAAATGAAATATTACAAATGAAATATCTACGTCCAATTAATGGTCATCTTTTATTTATTTATTTATCTTTTATTATTGACAATGAATAGCGATTCGACATACAACTGCAATTGATGTTTTGTGTGTGTGTGGTGGGGGGGGGGGGGGAGGTCAAGGCAAAAGTTGCTGGCCCGTAGGAAGCAAAATCAATTAGAGGGCACAACCATATTTTTTTCAGTTAGTGTCCTATTAACAACCAAAATTTCCTTGACAAACAAAAGAAAAAAAAATGGAGGGGGTAACAGGCGTTTTCACTGAGGGGGCTCGAGCATATAGTAGTAAATGTTTTATATAATATTGTAACCTGTTTTCTATAGTAAACTGTATGCTATCTATAGTATTCTATATATCGGCAAAATAATAAGATATGGCCCATACGGCAATTTGGAGTGAAAACTGAAGTCTGTTAATTCAGTGATAGACAAAATCAATTCATTCTATGATTGATTGACTGATTGATTGATTTTATATTGTTTAACGCCGAGTCGGCAATATTTCACCCAAATTTCGGCGGAATTCATTCTATGAAGTATAAATGTATACAATGTAGGCCGTAAAGCTATTTTAATTCAGTTGCACTATTTCCGCTTTAAAAGCTGGTACATTTTATCAATAAATGAAAATGATACACAAACATATATGTTTGAAAATGTTCTTATATCCGGTAGGTCTAACACGTTTTCCCCCTTTCATCTACTTACATTGGTTATAATTTTTCCGTACTCCTGCCCTTGAGTTTAATGAGAAAAAACCCATATGGCATTGAAATTGTGCCACCACGCTGTTGGTAAACAATGGCAATGATTATACTGAAAAAATTGAATTCAGCGATTGCATGTTTTATTTTGAGTGAATCGTTGATTAAATCAATTTTTTTTTGTAATTCAGACATACGAAAATAATGACGTCGCACCAACGTTATATAAAGTCGTGAAGAAAATATCATACTTCTGATCGAAAATTGTAAAACTTTAAAGTTTTTTTGCAAGAAATTGAGCGAGAACACATATTAATTTTTTTTAATAGATCGATTCTAAATTAACTTCACATACATTGTATCGAGTAATATAAAATTCGTCTGCTTCGTTTTTATGTTATGACCATGGTTTTGAAATGCGTATACCGGCTGAAAAGGCGCATTTTACTATATATTTCATTGAAAAAGCGTCACCTGTTCTCATCAACATTAGCGCATTTGAATTACGATTACAATTTTACCACTCAGACGAATCTCAAAAAAATTTCAGAAGGAAAAATTTAAAACGAGAGGTGTTAGCTGACAAATTTTAAGCCTATGTTTTCAGGCACACAGTAAACCCGCGATCTACCTTAAATCAATATCAAATTTAATATCGATATCCGGTGTCATATAGTGAGACTTCCGCCATAGTGAGACTTCCCCCCGGAAGTCTGGCTACATGTATATAGTGAGTCTTCCCCCTGGAGGGAAATATGGCTATATAGTGAGACTTCCCCCCATGATGACCATAGTGAGTCTTCCCCCTTCGGTTTTCGGTTTGGATTTTATATACATTGAAATAATTAAATATTTAGTGTACATGCTTTAGGGACCTTTTAACTTTTAAAAATTTTATGAAGTATTTTTAGGATTTGTATTTCATTTTGAAATGAAATTTGCGTGATATTAATAAAATTACATCACTATAAAATCAAATGAGATGGATTAAGTTCTAATACACTTTAAATCAAATTCTGACTGTTATGCATATTTTAGCAAAGGCAACAGATGCATGGATTGGGCTTAATCCCCCCCCCCTTTTTTTTAAATTTATGACTGGAAAAATTGCATGAAAATGTGTGCATCCCCTGCTCATCACACCCATACATCAATTCATACAATTATTTTTTTCATTTTGGTCGTGTTTTAAAAATTATTTATTTAAAGATATTTTATTAAACTGGGTTTGGACGATTGGATGTTTGAATACACGTATAAAAAATACGTAAAATTAAAAAAAATATATACTGCATTGCAATTGTCACTTATTTGACTAAACTATTTTGCACTTAAGTCGGAGATGGCTAATTGTCAATTTTAGTGTGTAGATCTGTTTTGTCACAATTTCATTTTTACACTTTATACGTTGAAACACAGAGCGTGCATGAATGCATCAGTCATTATATTATATCATCTCAATTTACATGCATATGTTATAATGGATATCAAACAGTTAAAACGATATTCAAACTGTTCATGCATATAAAATAAATATATAAATACATGTATATGTATGGAAGATAATTTTGCGATAAATTAACACTGTTAGATTTTTTTCAAATAATAAAACAATGTTCCGGAAACTATAATAAGAGGAGGAAGTCTCGCTATGAATGGGGGAAGGCTGGCTATAAAGTATACTTGGGGGTCCCCTGTGGCTTTCCATAATAAAGTGAGCCTTCCCCCGGAAGAACGGCTATATAGTGAAACTTCCGTGGGGGAAGTCTCACTATATAGCCATTCTTCCGGGGGGAAGGCTCACTATATAGCCAGCTTTCCGTGGGGAAGACTCACTATACGACACCGGTTTACTTTTCATATGATTTCAAGTTGAATGTCATGAAAATACCCTATTTTCTACATAATTCTGCTAAAGCCGTAAAGTACGGGAAAAAGAAAGTTGAAATTGATTATGACTTCATAATGGATCTAGCACCAAAAAGTTAGTCTAAAGTTATTTACTAGATCTTGACCTTAACTTCAGTTAAAATCCGGCTTACGCACTATTTTGGAGTTTTGTACTTTCATTATTAAATTATAATTGCTGTTTTGTGTATGGGATAGATAAAAGACAAACTTAAACTGGCAAAATATTTTAATCATTTGATAAATATATGTCGATTGTAGAAAATATCAGACAGCGAACATGTTATCTTCAATTCAGATAAAAAGCGGACAATGCAAATATGTACAGTGTACTACATATAATTAACTCAACGATAAAGTTTTAACTTATAACTTCATATTCAAAATAAAAACGTTAACTCTAGCATAATGTTTATGGGGTTTTTTTATTTAGACATGCAGCATGAAACAAATGGAATAAATTTGTATGGGAGAAGGTCGTAAAGTTTATTTAGTTCTTCTGAAATGATCCGTGTTCCTTTTAAACTTATCGGACGTAACCTTCATGCTTGAATAATAATTAATATTTTTAAAAGAATGTTAAAGATCAATGCTAGGTTCAGAAATTAAAAAAGAAATGGACATTATCCCAAAAAGATCACAAAAGACATACTTATAATTTATAAAACAAAAATTCTCTCTTTACTTTGATGACCAGGCAATGATTTCGGGGATACAATTTTAATGTTCATCTGTTAAACTTTGACATTTCCTGGCATACTTGCTGATAAATAAGAAAATTATAATTATCTTCTATGATAGATGTACACTATATGTATCCACATCTAATTTTCCCCACTTCTTGAATATATTTTTTCGTAGTGCTCTTAAGGTTTCTCCTTCCCTTCTGTTAATATTTTATTGAGGAGTAAAGAAAGAGTCTTGGTTGAACATTTACTCGAAACCGCTATGTATCTTTGTTTTGTAAGGATTTTTATGAAGTTCCGGAATCCAATATAGATATGGTAGTTCAAATTCATTTTGGTTCTTTTGAATATTAAAAATATTCAAAACTGACATATGGTTTTGAAGAATTTCTTCCTTAGAAAGGGAACTATGAGTATAAGTCGGATTACCACTTGTAGATTTAAATCCAAGTTCTAAAATACAATTTATATAACGAGTCTTATACAAACGAAGACAACGTTTGTTACCTGTTTTGTCAGCAGGGACCAGTGCATACTGATCTGACACATCTAATCCATACTGACAAAGTGTCAATGTCTTCTTTTTTTCACATCTGGTCCATTGTCTGGCGAATTCATAATACAACCGTACATTGTATAAATGAACTTCCGACGCCAGATGAAGGATCGGGGTTTCCATTTTCGCCTCGCCCAATACGGATTTCCATTTCACACCCTGTATGAATCCGTATTAGGTCACTAACTGACTGTGTTACGAATTTATCCCGCTGAAGACCTTTTTCGATATAAAAAAAATATTTGTGCATATCATGAAAATATTTAGTTTTAATCCAATAACAATCAACATAAAATATCGTTACGGTAACAAGAAATTTAACTAAACTACCTAGTACGTAAACCGTTTCCTAGCCGCCATTTTTATTTACAATAACAATTTTATACGGAATTTCATATTACGCCTCGACGGAGACGTAATACGGAAAATTTCAGGGCGTCATGTGATTAGCTTTTATCCAATCAGTAATCGACAAATTTGTCTGAAGCGGGATAAAATAACATACGATTTTTAGTAAAATAGTGCCTACTTATTTATTCATAGTGATATGTGTATATAGAAATATCTGTATAATTCTACCATATGTATGAATTCACAAATTAAACTGATCGACCTTTCTCAATTAGATGAAATTTTCAAACTGACTTTTTAAAGATGAGTATATTTTATAAGTACTTTGCACAAATGCCATATTTGTTTGGTTCTGTCTAAATGTGGCAGCGAAAAAATGAAAATGTTGCCTAAAGAAATCAAACCAAAGATAGGATAACAAAATATCTTTTATCCCTGAAAATAGTAAATTATTACTATTGAATAGAAATTTATTTTCTTGGTACATTTAAAGTCTGAAACTTTCAAATTTTGCGATGGGGCGCATCTTTCATAATGCTAGATTTCAGAAAATAACGGGAGAAAATGCCAGCTTTTTAACATGGAAAGCAGTCAGATTCGAACATATGAGAATCACTGTTATCATCTCATGGTTTACATGGTTTAGAGACCTGTTAATTTAGAGAAAATAAATAAGTTGCATGAGTGCATTGCTTCTGTGTCTAGACCAGGAAAAGAACTGCTTGCAAAAGAACATATGAGAACCACTGTTATCATCTCATGGTTTACATCGTTTAGAGTCATGTTAATTTAGAGAAAATACATAAGTTGCATGAGTGCATTGCTTCTGTGTCTAGACCAGGAAAAGAACTGCTTGCAAAAGAACGGATGCACACCCAAGGCGGCTGCATTTGTCGAGAAACCATTAAAAAATTTTGGAACTATCACAATCCATCAGCCAAGAACATATAATTATGATTCTATTGGCATGAGTTCTAATACGCTTCATTTCTTTCTCAGTAAGCTTGCTGCGCTCTGTTTGTTAGTATCACAGTGTAATCTTCTTGTTGTGGTTCCTGCATAGTCACAGAATTTGAGGGAAGAGGACAAGCATACACACTCCAACCACCTTTCTTTGACCTGAAATAGATACGCCCATTACTGGAATGGAACTATTTTAAAACAGACCAAAAACAATATGTCGACATGCGACAACAAGTTATATCTTGAGATTCTAGTGATTTTTTTGGCTAGAGATTATTCTTTATTCAATAAATAAATTCTTTTTTTTTATTTTATTTGCCTTGAATATCTCACCTTTTTGCGAAATAAATGGTGGTACCTATGAGGACACAGATGACTATCGAAGCCAATGATATTGTCAATGACAGATAAAACACTGGAGAAAGGAGAGGAAGGCTGGTGGTATTCTCATGACTGCCAGTGAAATCTGAGGTAAAAATAGAACGTGATTGTCTTGTCTAGCTTTTGTGCAAATGTAATGTTTTGAAAGCTGTTTATGCTTAAAATAACAATATTATTTTAAAATGGCATTGGAAAAAAAAAGATTGATATAGTTATAGATTGAATCTATGTTATAACATTATGATTTTATGTAATAAAAAATGAGTTCTTTCATTTTTATCCTGTCAAAAAATTAGTGAATTTAATTCATACTGAATATCTTGCCATAATTGATAAAAAGTTCCTGCAGTTAGCTACATAAATATTTTTACTTTTAAACAACTACATATACTACATGTACAGGTATTTTAAACTACTATTAAAAATACCAAAACAGTTCTATACAAAAGCTGTTTATATTTTATTATAATTTAAGTATTTAAAACAAAATCATTGGATCCATTAATTGTAGTTATGAAGAATTAAAACATTTGCATTATTCTATGCTTGCATGGGTTTAACACTGTTTAAAGGCAGAGATTTTAAGCACCGCCTTCAAAAATACCTGGTCTGGGTAGCCCTGTCAATCAAGTGCGTGAAGGTCCATCATTGGATGCTGGAACTTGATTGACAGTTACTTACTGGTGCCTGTGTATACCCTGTACACCTTGATTGGGACTCGATCATGGTGACCTTCTAATTAACATTTGATCCTTTGATCTTTACTGAACACGATATACAGAATTACTGTATTACTATGAAATTTTATAGACTGATAAGATATGAATTAAATATAACTTTTGTATTTGAAAGGATAATAATATAATATATATTTTTAAAGCAAAAAAATTAAATTTAATTACAAAAACTTTTTTTTCAAATGAAATTTTGATATTATTTTTAATATGGTAAATGATAAAGTGGAAATATTATTGATAAAGTTCAGTGATGCACCGTGTAAAATAATTAAATTAAAAAATAATGTTTCTAATTACGGGTCACTTACATTTTCCTTTTTTATTCAAAAGGAGAATTAACAAGCATGTTTCATGGTGACAAAGCCTTCTTAAGGTTAGGACAGACCTATACAGTACAGTGCAGATATTTGTTTTTGTGAAATGTTGTTCACACAGCTCTCTTTTCATTTAATTAAAAGATGGGATCCTGGGGATGAATGAATTAAGTCTAATTTGGTTGTTACAAAAGTTTTTTATTTAAATTAACACATACAATAACATCTTAAACAATCTTTGTTTTAATATTTGAATTTATAGTATGATATCATAATAATTTTTTTTAAATAGGTAGGAATGTTTTCAAAGAGTCAAAAATAAATCAATAAAAAATTGAAAAAAAACCTTCTTCCTTCTAATTTTAAAATTGTCTCAAAATCCCCAACACAGGTAAAGTTTGATATCTGGGTATTTCACTGTGTATTAAATCACTTCCTGTGTATATGGATTAGGAGACAAACTACCACAGGTAGACTGCTAGCCCCCAAGGCATTCACAACTGTACAAAATAAGCCCCTCCCTCACCTGGAATTTACCACCCGGTAAAAAATCTCTGCCTTTAAGGACAACTCTTTATAATCGACGATCAATAGGGATGGGTATCGCCAAAAATTTCATATCGTGATATATCACGATTTTTCCCCAAACTTCACGATAATATCATGATCTTTTTGCAATAAATTTTAACAATGATTTTTTAATGAATTGTCATAATGTTTCTTAAAAATATGCTTGAAAAGCAAAATTTCACTTTTTTGAGATTTTTATGTACATAAAATTAATCATGTTTGGATGGTAAGATGCTGTTCTTTTCATCTTTTACGATATTTTTTAGACTTTCTATAATTGTAATTTGACAGATGAAACAAATATATGAATAATTTCTGGACTTTACATTTATAATATGTACCTACCTGTATGAATTTTAAAGGCGGATTCCGCCTGGAATTTGGGTGGAATTGAGCAGGAATTGGCAAATTCCGGGCGTACTTGAGGCGGAGACGGAATTTTCAAAGAGTTACGCCTCAGTAGAAGAGACGTCTTACAGGCGTCATTTGTAATTTCCGGGCGTCAATTGGCAATTTCAGATTTTCCGGGCATAAAATGGTAGGAAAATAGAAACAAAAATTACGCCTGGAACTTTCAGGAGAAGTAAAAGCCTCTGATTGGTCAATTTAATTATCAATTAAGGGTCATTTCAGATAGGAGGTTAAGTTTGAATTTGATCATGAAGGAGGGAGTTTAGTGTGAGTGAAACAGGAAATGCAGATATCTCAATGTTAAGGCTTTTACACTTCTTGAGGATGACACAGTGTCTGCTGGTAGGTGTGATCATGAATATCTAGTACCTATTTGAGTAAATTTGATTATGATTATGTACAATGATAGTTATAACTGATTGACCCTAAAATTACTTTAGATAATTGAGTTTGTCCGTGCACACATTCTGAGAAGTATCAGTCTGATAGAGGCTGCAGTGAGAATTTAACTGTAAACTGCTGAGTAACTGAAGAATTGTCTTCAGTCAGTATTAAATGTTTCAATATAATTATATTGAAGTGATAAAATGTACAGGTATTGTAAAAAAGTTTAATTCTAAATACACACTCAATCATGGTGGTCGTTTTTTAGTGTCCCTATAATACACAAAATTCATGTTATTTTTCTATACTTGTTAATGATATATGTTAATGACCTGTCATTATGTTTTCTTACAGTTCAAAAAGCTAAATTATAGCTTTAACATTGTAAATCATAATCTGAATGTTTTTCTTTGTTAACACGGTAAATATATAGGTTTTTAGGTCAAATAGTATTATATAATAATAAGGACATTCAAGGCGTAATTCTATTCCAGGCGTCATTTTAGTTTCCAGGCGTAATTTTTTTTACGGGCTTCATTTATTTTTCCGGGCGTAGCTCATTTGCATTTTTCGCCTCAAATTCCTGCCCATTTACGCTTGGTTTCCGCCTAAGTTACGCCCGGAACCTGTGTATCACCATATAAGTAGAGAGACAAATTAACGCCTCTCCAAGTACGCCTCAATTCCCCCTATATTCCAGGCGGAACATTTCGTACAGGTAAATACCGGTATTTAGATCTCCGTATCACGATACGTATCACGCAACAAAAAATCGCGATATACCGGTATACCGATAAAATCGCACATCCCTAACGATCAATAATCATTTGCAATAATCAAAGGTAAAAGATAATACATGTACGTGTGGATAAAAAATTAATAGTTTTAACTTTACGTATATTTTGCATGACTTTGTGAAATGTTGCCTATAATTAATGGAGCGGTTTATAAAAAAAACATAAACTGCTATACCAGTATAACTTTTGTAAATGGAGGCAACACAAGTTACACGATGAGATGAAATGAAGAGTTACAACCAAAATTTAAAAAGTATTTGTGCATATAATAAAAAAACAATAAAATATAAAAACATGTACCTGTGACAACCTGTGTTTTAATTTCAGAGGAGTGCAGGGTACCTAAACGAAACATTATAAAAAAAAAAACAAGCTTTTAAAATCAAAATTTACTAAAGGAAAGATTATTAATTCTAAAGATTGATCCATTTCTTCTAATCACAAAAAATTGCACATCAAGATCAAAATTTGAGATTTTTTTCTGCGCAGTATACTTTCACTGTTCAAAATCAAACTTTCTGCATGTTGCTTGAAGATCGATATTATAAACCGTATCTTATGTCGGCCGGATAAAGAGGGGGACTTTTTTTCATTAAAATGGTACCCCGAGGTTAAGTGCTGATCATGCATAGATCGTTAATTGAGCTTGCACAGATCTTTGTTTCTATAATTTGTTAGGACGCGGAATTCTTGTGTAAAGCAGGTACTGAATCAGACTTTTCAACTTTAATAATAATAATAATAATAATAATACTTTATTTAAAGAAGGTAGCCCGATTAGTGCACGCACTATTCTTCCCCGGGGCCTTCTGTAGACAAAAATCAATATACATACATATACAAATACACACAATCAAATAAATAATCATAAGTTATTTCGACATTGTTTTACAAATATTTTGACTTGATGTTTGAAAGCATTCAAGACATTTTTATATGTACAGGTAAATTATTCCATAAGATAGCACCAGAGTATTGAAAGGAGTTCTCAAAGAGTTTACAGTTACGAGCTGGTACACACAAGTCTAAATTAGATTCTGATCGAAGATTGTATTGATTATTACACTGGAAGTTAAACATACTATTTAAATAAGTATGGTGAGAGTTGAACAATGATTTATATAACAAAACATATTTATTTACAATAAGTTGCTCATACACTGTGAGCCAATCTAGTTTCTCAAAGAGAGGTTGTGAGGGCGCATCAGGAGGAGCATCTAAAATACATCTTGCAGCGCGTTTTTGAAGCTTATATACTCTGTCAAGATTTGAGTGAGATGTATTACCCCAAATAGTTAGACAATAATCAATTGAAGGCATAATATATGCATTGTAAAACAGCTTGCGTGTATGAATAGGAAGAAACTTTTTAATTCTACGGAGGGCAGAAATTTTACGTGACAGTGTTTTACAAACATGGTCAATATGTACATTGTATTGTAAAGAATTATCTAAATAAACTCCAAGAATTTTTTCATTTGATACAATATCAAGTTTTTTGTTTGATACAAATAGATTAATTTCATTCTCAGAAAAAATTGATCTCTTTTGATGCGTACAAACTAACATGCATTTGGTTTTTGTAGCATTTAGAACCATTTGATTTTGAGAACACCATTTTTCTATAAAAGCTATATCCGTTGATAATGTATCTACAATAGTTTGACAATCTTTACTTGATGCATGTAAAGTGGCATCATCTGCAAATAATTCTAATTTGGATTTTGTAATACATAAAGGAAGATCATTAATGTAAAATAAAAACAGAAGAGGACCTAGTATAGATCCCTGTGGAACTCCCGCTGTGACTTGCTGATAAGATGAATGTTTGTTGGACAGATGGACACTTTGAAGTCTCTCACTTAAGTATGATCTGAACCATTGTAAAGTTATTGCATCAAAGTTATAACATTGTAGTTTTTTAAGTAGAATATCATGATTGACAAGGTCAAAAGCTTTACTGAAATCAAGAAAAACAATACCAACAAGTTTACCTTGGTCCATTTCATTTAACCATTCATCGGTAATTTTTGTAAGGGCTGTTTGGCAAGAATGTAGTTCTCTGAAGCCTGATTGAGAATCTACTATAAGATCAAAATCCGAAAAAAGAGATCGTATATACTTTGCCACATGTTTTTCAAAAATTTTTGATAATGTTGGTAAAACAGAAATAGGCCTATAATTATTTGGATCTAATCTGTTTCCTTTTTTAAAGACTGGGGTAACTTTTGCAAGTTTAAAACTCTCGGGGAAAATACCAGTTATGATACTAGTATTTATAATATGGGTCACAGGTTTATATATTATTTGTGAAGTAAGTTTCAAGAGACGTGGCCCGATGGTATCAACACCTGAATATTTACTTATATCTAGTTTACTGAGTAAGGTTAGTAGTTTTCTTCTGTAGGTTTCAAGTCCTCAAAATATTACTTCCAAAATAATTTATATTTTTATAGCCAACATTTTCCTAAATTTAGATTTACCTAATACAATTGTTTATACCAAATGTTTCTTAGAAAACACCCTTTTACTCAGTTCTGTTTGTATATTTTTAGAGCGTTTATTACAAATATCAGAACATTTAATTTAATTTTTGTAACGTTTTTAACGGTCATACTGAAGCAAAATATGAAAAATTAATTTTATTATTCATGTATATACTTCGCACATGTACCCGTAAATTATCTAATTATCTAAACAAGCCATAGACAGTAAAAACTACAGGTATTGTGAGCTTTGAGCTTAATGGGGTCATTATTCAACGGGGGTCAATTTTTTTTATAGGACTCACATTTAAAATAATGACCCTAAAATGGGGCTCTTTTTCTACAAAAAATGATTATTTTATACGGTTTAAGGGTCACTTTCTGAAGTTGAAAAATGACCCCCGGTCATTATTCGATGAGGGTAATTATTCTTCTTTACACGGATTTTCTTGGATTTGATTTACAAATGTCAGACATTATACAATTCTTGAAAAAATCTCAACTGCCAAATCCTTTGCTGAGACAGTAAAAAAACGACGAATTGTTTAAGATAACAGACAGGTAGACATGCTGATGATGCTCTGCATACAAAATGCATTGCAGCATGTTAAATTTGTTTCTTCAAACTATATTTAATATCGCTCTTCAACAAATCAACAAATATGGTGCAAATATTATTTGAAACCTTCTTTTATCATAAATAAAACGAAGGCAATAGATGAAAGTGTTCACTGTGGTGGCATATTTCTGCCCCGTACATGCAAGATGAATTATGTTAACATGCAACATAATTATGTTAACATGCAACATAATTATGTAGATATGCAACATATTTATGTCAACATGCAAGTTAATTATGTTCACATGCAAGTTACCAGTCTTAAAAAATATAATTTAAATATGGGCAAATTTACAAACTAGCGCCTGTATCTGACATTTTAGATGCAAGATGCAACATAATTATGTAGACATGCGACTTATTCATGTCAACATGCAATATAATTATGTCAACATGCGACTTATTTATGTCAACATGCAAGATAATTATGTTGAAATGCAAGATATGTCTGTTGATATACTACTTATTATCTTGCATGCTGACACAAATATTTTGTATGTAAAAATATAACTCGCATGTTGACATAACTAAGTGGCATGTTGACACAAATAAGTAGCTTGTCAACATAATTATCTTGCATGTGAACATAAATATCTTGCATGTCTACATAATTATCTCGCATGTTAACATAAGTATCTTGCATGTTAACATAATTTACTTGCATGTTCACATAAATAAGTGACATGTTTACATAATTAACTCGCATGATAACATAAGTAAACCACATTTTGTCATAATTATGTTGCATCTTGCATCTTCGACGTCAGATACGGGCTTACGTACGTGATTTTAACCATATTAAAATCAGATTCTTTTACGAAATTTGTAACTTGCATGTCAACATAACTATCTGGCATGTAGACTTAATTATCTTGCATGTTAACATGATTTGTCTTGCATATAGAGGGTAGAAATATGTCACCATAGTCCACTAATTTTTTAAATGCTTATACATGTTATAGTAGTTCAATAACTCCAAAAATTATTATATTTCATATTCTGACTTCTAATAATCCCCGCTATGTGTTCCTTGTCACTATCGAGTTAAAAAAAAAAACGAGAAAAAAATTCTTCGATAATTCAGTGTGTATGTAATATTGATCTAATAACAATAAGTATAAAACAGGCCTATCAGCATTTGATTTTTTTGACAAGGTCAATTGTATCGACAATAGAACTTGCAAAATGACCAAAAATTCGGTTCTTTTCAACAGAAAGCTTTAAAGATATTAACTAAGATCACAAAAAGATATGCAGATATATTACCAAATACCTCTCTTTGATTAACATGTTGATGAGCCTACGATAATATCGGGGTTATAAATAAAATTTTCAACTTTGACATTTCCTGGTGTACTCACTGAAAAATAAAAAATTTATAATTATCCTCTATGAGATACACTACCTTTACAGCCTATTTGTGCGTCACATATTTCGCTGGATTTGCAATTACATTTGGATCTACAAAGAGCCCCATAAGAACCATTTGGACAATGTTTGGAACAATTCATTCCAAACATTCCAGTTGGACACTCTGGAATTTAACCCAAAAATACAATGTTAATAAGTTAATTTTAAAAAAATTGATATCTGGCATTTTTATGATAGAAAAAATACAAATTTAGAATACTTGCCCACGCATGTATTATTGACTTCATGGTAATTACTGCAACAGGATACTTGACTTCTAAAAATGTATGCAAAAAATAACATGAATTCAAACCTTAGTTCCATCCTACTCCATGATGAATGTTTTACAAAAACTATGTGTTTTGAAAGTATCTTTAAATACACAGTTATTGATTTATAATGACAGAAATGAACATATATATGGCTATTATTGGGATAACAGTTTAAATCCATTTTTGAAAGATATTGCAGGCTACAACTGTAGAATTAAACAATAATTTATAAACAAATACATGAAATTTCATATTAAGTGCACAATTATTGACTAATACTTTCAATTAATATATTTTGTTTTAATTTGATAAAATAAGAAGGTTAGGAACAGTAACGAAGCTCAAACGTCCATTAAATGAAACATATAGAGATAAGGAACAGTATTCAAGCTCAAAGTCCATGCAAAATAAGAGCAGAGCAAAAAATAATCTCAAATACATTAGAGGTGGGATCAGGTGCCATCGAGGAAGGAGCATTCCCTGCCGTCCGAATACAATACAAATTGGAACAAATCAAAGACATACGTGTACCTCAAATGTTGAGAATTACAACGTTGAGATCATGTGCCATGAAAGAGTAGGCATCCGCTGCCAACAGTGTTCCTTGTCATGATATGGGAAACGGTAAAATCGGTAGACAATCCATAAAATAATGGCCTAACATATTTTGCTCGAAAATTGTCAGTCACCATTTGACTTATTGATTGACTGAACTTGTTGACAATGTCATTGCATCAACCATACATGTAGAACTTGAGAACTTCTGACTTTTGATGGGATGTTTGTAAATAGCTTGAATGTCTCATTTTCAATTTGTTCGAACAAAAACACGATCTTGTATATCGAATCAACTGAGAAACATGAATCCCAGGGGAAGGTGTTAAAGTTATAAAGCTAATAAAAGTTATACGTAAGGAAAGTTTACGACAGAGAAGTAAAGTCATCATGTTTATCATAAAGTTTTGTTAGGTTCTCATAGTCCTACGCGGTACGGCCTTTAGGATTTTTTTTTTCTCACTTTTTACATTTTTAATTTTTATTGTTAATATGAAAGCGATAACATTCCTATTGTAAGAAAATAGTCTAAATGGTGATTGAAAAATCATTACAGAAGAAAGAAAATATAGATCATTCAAAGTTCTGAATGTGCACTCACCTGTGATTAATACATTTTCCTATGTTTTTAGTTGCAATTACTGACGTTAAAACAGTTAAAGAGATCTCCAAACACAGAAACCTTTTGAAAATCTTCATTGCGTATGTTTCAACAAACCGATCTCGCACTAAGAAATCAGGAAGTAAATTAAATATTACACTTTACACATTTTCCAAGAGATCAAAATAAACGCCATTTTTTCAGATGGTTGAATGTTTTTGTGTTATGTCCTCTGGATATATTAATGCTTTCTTGATAAAAAAAAAACTAGTGTTGGCAACGAGTACCCGGTTAACCGGTTAACCGTCGAACGATGCGAGTATCTGTTAGTAAAATTGCTATTCGGTTACTCGAATAAAATGAATTCTACATAGTAAATGCATAGAAAATGAATGTTTTCAATTTGAAAATATATCTTTACACATTTCCCTAATTTTAGGTACCGTTAGACTTGATCTAGTGCATGGTTGTAGTGGATCAAATTGTTTTTATTAGTTTTCACAGCTTATATAATTGATAGCCTTGATTGCTTGGGGTATACAACTTTTGAAGGCCCAAGTTATAATTACCTCATTTGATAATTTAACGAGATGCCGCCACAGACATAATAAGCTTGGAGTTGTCATTAAAGAACAGCTGATTTAAAATCTTTTTAATCACTTACGCTTAAAATATTATTCGGAAACAAGCGATTTACTGGACAGTTCACTTAACTATCGATGAAAATAATTACTCTCCTTGACTGCGACATATTTCAGGGACTAAATGGGAAAGCATAACGAAAGTATTTGTAAAGTGGTGATTGACGATGCATTTATTTGTCTTTTTCGTGTGTCAAATTCCTTATTTTCTTGAATCTAAAACCAAAATTCTTTGACGATATTGTATGTGTGTATTGTTAATATATTGTCCATATATATATATTTGTGTACTACTACCACCGGTAAGTAAAGAATAAGATAAATACTATAGTAATAGATATTGATAATTTTACTAAAATCATCCTAGTAACCGGGTACTCGCTCGGAAGATGAAGCGAGTAACCGGTTACTACATGTAAAAATCGTCCGATTTGCCAATACTATAAAAAAATAATCAAACATAATTTTAAAAAAAAAATCACTAAAAAACATTGTTTCTGGGATTTTAAATATATAACATGACTTGAACAAGGAAGTCCCCCACGTGGCGCAGTGGTTAGGGCGTCTGCTCTACAGTCGCAACGTAAGCTCTTGATCCTTACCTTGCAAATTCTAATCCCACTGTGAGACGTGGAGACCGGTCCTTCGGATGAAACCTTATAAACTGAAGTCCTGTTTCGCAGGAGGTTTTGCACGAAAAAGAGTGGGACAAAATTTGCAGCTCTCCACTGGCAAATGAGTGAAAAATTCCCGAGAGGGACATTTATCAACATACAGACCAACAATTGAACGATGAAATCTTGCTCTACTTAATGCTGCAATATTTTTTTTTTTTTTTTTTTTTTTTTTTTTGCAGGATGCATTTTATACCAATTTACGTTTAGAGATATCGAAAATGTCGACATAGACTATAAAATCCGTTTTATAGAAAATTTACATATACTATTGAATACCATGATCAAAAAATACATGTACCAAATTTCCAACTATCAGGGAAATATAAATTAAAAAAAAATAATAATTGAAAGTCTTGCAGATGTATCAATTATTTATAAAAATAATTTGCACAAAATAATCAAGATTAACAAGAGAAAAATTGAGTCAATATAAATAATAATCATAATGATCATTTGGTTTTATGTTTTAATGTAGGCAGACCAAGAGATTGACCAAACAAAATCTAAGAAATAAAATTTTGGCCACGCGGTAGGTCACTCTGCCCCTTCTCCTACCTACAGCCTTGGAGGACGGGTTTTTTCAAGTTTGTTATTGGACTTTTATCAGAAGCGCTGACTTTTACAGTTGACAGCTTTCTTTGACACAAGGACAATGTTCCGAAGCTCTTTTACGAAATAAATATATAGATTAACATTTAATTCAACGAAAACAGCGGGCTATTTCAATGCAAATATAAGCTGTCTTTGAAGAAAACGACAACGACCCTATCTTCTACTCCCGGCCTTCAAATGTTAGTGCCCCTAACACCATACATTGTACCTATGACCACTACACAGGATTTCTTAATATGTAGTATCATTAATATTTCTGTTCGTCCGTACATGATACGAGTTTAAATGTCCAAGTAAACTGTAGAGGTCAGTGCGTCTCGTAAAAGGACATTTACCTCCCTCAACCCCGCACCCGCCAATGTTTGGTTTTAATTCTATATTTTATCGATTTCACACCATTTTCATGATTTTTTCTGTTAAGTCTTTAGAAGTTGTAATTACTAGAAATTTTGATTATCTACTTGTACCTACAAAGTTAATTTATTTCTCATCTTTATATTTTATGTCTGTGACTTTTTAGTCATTGAAAGTGTTTTCAGAGTTAGAGTATTTTTAATATTAATATTCATTATATAATTATGCTTATTTTTTGCCTTATACAATACATATAATCAAATCCAACATTATGCAATAAATTCCTTTTTACCATATCGTAAAATCGATCTACAATAATAATAATAATGCACGTAATGATGTCAAGATGACTTTCATTGTTAAAATCATAGACAATATTAAAAAAGTGAAGACAACAAGTATAAAAAAAATACCATAATGTATTATGAATTGTAAGAAAAATTCTATGAAAATACACGACTGGATTCTTTGATACAAAAACAAGTGGTGTGATGTTTAGTTGGTTTCCCCGGTTTTTACTTTATCATTATAAGTTAAAATTACATCATAATTATATGACACACACATAAGACACAATTATGAAATACTAATTTTAGTATAGAATAAAATTATTAAGTCTAAGTGATCAAATCACAAATTCTCATTAAAGATATTTATGTAACCCTAGTGATCTGGCTAGACTATCGCAATAGTTAAAATATACATGTAACAAACAATGTATACTGAGTGAGAATTGTCATTTATTAAATGACAATAAGTATATAACACAGATAAAGTTAAGGGGAGATCACCGGGATATTTCCTGAGTACAAAGAACAATAAATTTGGCAACGGTATCTCCCCTGTTGCAAACAAACATTACTTTGGCTTCAAACTGCAAAATTAAAGAAATTTGAATATTAATAGCAAAAACTTATGACCAGTCAGATATATTATCAACTTAGGTCAGGGATAAAATATTACTTCTCTTATATACTGAAAGGAAAAAGAAACGCAGGGTAAACTTTTGAGGTGAATTAAATTGTTTTTCTTAAAAAATGTTTTATTTTTTTATATCTAACTTTTAAAATCATCTTTCAAAAAAATTTAATCAAATTCTCTTTGATTTTGTCTAATAATTCATGAGTTACTGAAGCTCAAATGACGATACCCCCGAAAAGTGAAAATCGAAAACGCTCATTATCTTCAATGTCTCTCCTGTGCATCTGTCAGAGCCTTATTTCTCCTTTGCATGGAATTTGACACACAGAGTGTTTATCTTTCAGTACCGTGGCTATATTTGGCATGAGTAACCACGCAAAAACATAAGTCAAACGTTTCGCGCATGCGCCAGATATGAGAGGGATAAAACAGTAAGTTGACTGGCTCATAAAATCAAATTGCGGAATTGTTTTCTTTCAAATTTCTTATGAACGTAATGATTATAATCGACTACTGTATAAATCGCAGTTTTTGTGGTAGTAAGGTGGCAATTCAAGAGATGGCAGGACGAATAACCCGAACGTAACATGGCTCTGTTTCGCGTTAACGTTATCGTCACGGTTGACTGAAAACCATTCAAGACTCTCTCTGACAAAGGGTAACAAGTTTTATGAAGAAAAATTTTCAAGAAACTGCTTCGTAAACCGTTGTTGCCTTTTTCATTAATTAGGCAATTCAAAAAGAAGACCCCATTGAACTTCCGTAAACTGTGCCAAGATTGCAAGAAATTCATAATGTCTCTTAATATTTAAAAACGATGTGCATACCTCATATGCATCAAATAATGCAACAAGAATTGTTGACAAACTTTTCGTTATCAAATTGCACATGTTTTGGCCTTTTTAGCGTTTTCCCTACGTGACGTCATAAATTTTACGGTTGGGTTATTCTGAATACTGATTTTGATGCACAGTAACTAAATTTCTCTTCTGACCAGTTTTAGTAATTCTCGGTCATGTGGTCAAAATTTTTTCGAACATTATGCTACCCTGCGTTTCTTTTTCCTTTCAGTATACTTAATGGGAATGTCAAAAGTTATATAAATGTTCATGCATTTTAACTGTTTACAAGTAAATTGTTCAAACAAAAATAAACGTTTATTTAGTGAATAAATAAAAGAATTTTTACATATAAAAAATAAAATGGGAAATGATTTTAAATTCTAAATATTTGACGAATATTTTGATGTGTAAAGTTGCTATGGTTTAACTTACTTTCTCATATTTATGGGAATATAAAATTCTTGCTTTGATTTATTGTTTATAGTGCAGTTAATATAGTGTGAATCTGGTGTTTAAGTGTTTTTAATATATTTTATTGAGAAAATCAAAATGATTGGAAATAAGTTTTACACAACTTACTAAGTTTCTCTCCATATATATTAGACTATGTCATGCAAATTAAAGAAAAATGATACAACTGATATAAGAAAACAATTAATTAACATTTCAAATAGAGAATCTACATATTTCGTCAAAAACTTTATGAACATCAACAAAAATAATATTATTTATCTGAAAAGAAAAATTAACATCACCACATAATAATAGATTTATATCAATAGAAATGAAATATATGGTGGTACATGTGTGACTAACAGTATTCGTTACTGTAACAAATAATTCAAAATAGGATCAGAGCAAAAACGAACCTCCAAAACATCAAAGGTGTCATCAGGTGCCATGGAGGAGTGAGCATCCCCTCCCTACCAGTTCAAACATGAACAAACGATTAACAAAGTATTCTACATTAGAATTATTTTTGCATGCAAAAAGAAATTGTACACATTTTCCTTATTTCCAATTCAACATGAGGGGTCTATCTATATTGTTTAATTTATTTTGATCATGGTTTACACATATATGTTGAAATACCTAAACTAGTATGAGTGGTTATGGTGTATCCCTTACCAAAGAGCGTACAAATAATAAAGTGCAGAATGCTTAAAAGTATCAAATAAATTATCAATCTTTTGAATTACAAATTGAATTGAATTTACAGTAAGTTACAGATTTCAAGTGAGCACGTACATGTAGTCTTACATACGAAGGCATCCATTCAATTCAATTGCCATGTTCCTCTTAAATATTCTGAACAAATGAAATTTTTCTTTTAGCATATCGCTTATTTTTTATGAATTATCTTTCTGTGTTATTCATAATTTCAGGTGTGTGGCCGGTGGGCAAGGGATGCTCACTCCTCCATGGCACCTGATCCCACCTCTGATGTTTTGGAGGTCCGTGTTTGCACTGCTCCTATTTTGTATTGCTTTATGGACTTTTGATCTTGAATATTGTTCGTTATCTCCATATGTAATCACTCATATTTCGACTGAAAAAAGACTTAAAGCTACATTTATATATTTAGGCTATGCTATCACGCTTGTTACAGATTTAAAACTGTCCATAAAATTGTCTGTGATTCCATTTTTCTGGCCATGCTTATATATATGACAATGGATTACTGAATCACATTTCAATCCTTTTAAGGGATATCCAAATAGAATTCGCTAAAAAATTGAAATTTCATAATTAAACTATAAGATGAACCTAGTGATTAATTGTCCCGAAAACCTGTACAAATACCATTTACGTCTATTCTATAGTAATTTCAACCAGATTTTCTCAGAAATAATAAAACAACATTATTTTGTATGTTTTGCCAATACAATGCACAACATTAAAGATACGAAAGCAAATGAAATGATTTTTAATGAAACAGAAAATTTTACTGCTAGTAGTCTCCTCTTTCGTTTAAGACACACATTTTGTTCATTACTGGAAAATAAACCAACCTTAAGAAAGGACATGAGCGCAGAAAAAGAATATTCTGACTGATGTTTTTCAAACTCGTAGTTAGGCCATTCTTTGCACACTGTATTGTCGATAGATGAATCCGTTATTTTCCGATCATGCCAAGGAAGTTAGATCGGGTGTGACGATTTGGCAGTGGATGTTCACTCCTTCATAGCACCTCATCCAACATCTGATGTTTTAAATGTGCATGTTTTCTATGTTGTGATTTACTTTGTTTGGAAATAAAAATTTGAGCATGAATAGATAACATTTTGAGCATTACTGCTTTTTGATTTCTTCATATATTTTATTTGGATAGCTCAAAATGCAAAAATGTCTTGTATGAGGGAAAAAAATCGTTTTATTTTATAACTTTTGTTGATCGCATCTCCAATTATGATGTCTGTATAACGTCAATGAAAAGAATTAGACGTAAGTTCTAAAATCTTTTTTATATTAATAATACAAGAAATATAATGTTATATGCTTCTAAGTTTTCCTGCCAAACGATTGAGATTGTTTTTTTTTTTTGTTAAAAGCAGGCAAAATCAAATATCATGTAGAAATGAAATATGTTATTTATTAGAGTAAATGACGGAAAAGATAAAAACACAGTTAACAAAATGGGCGTCAGAAAAAGGGGACTCAAATAAAGATTATCACCCATCTTAGGCAAAATTATTACACAATCTGACCCCAGTACCTTAATGACATTGTAGCATGATGTACATAGGAAAACGGGGGGTCAACCAGACTAGAAAAAGAATTCAAACCCTGTAATCTTTCACAAGGTACAATATACATTATTTAAGGAATGAAGCTTATTTCAACTTATGTTATCCGATATAGCATAACTTGGGGCAGTTTACGCTTCGCGGTTTATAAAAAAGCGTAAACTGCCCCAAGTTTTGTTATATCGGATAACATAAGTTGAAATAAGCTTCATTTCTTATAATTTAATTTCAATGTACAGACAATAGACAATATTTTCATTTTTTCCTTCGGAAAAAGGCTTCAAATATAGCATATTTTAAAAGTTAACGTCAAGCGGATTAATACGTTGTTGACGTAACTCATTGTGACGTAGGCAAGTTATGTTATACAAAATGAATAAAACCGTTTAACCAATCGAATGACGAGTTACAACTAAAATTAAATTATTTCAAGTTGACCCCAAATATCATATGATTCCTTGAAGCATATACAATTTATGTCAGTACATTCAGACCCCCAGTATCAGACAAAAAAGGAAATAAATTATAAAACAGGAAACGAATCTGCTGATTCCATTCACTACATGTCACTCAAGATGTTAGTTTCCTTGTGGCATTTATAGTATTTATGATTTAAACATATGGGAAGAAAAGCTGTATTAATATTATATCCTGACTGCAAGTGCATTCTTGAACCATTACAAGGCAAACCCATTTTTTAAATGACTTTATATATAAATTATGTACAGATCTTGAGGCACAAAAGAGCTCTTCAAAACTGATTATGGGTAAAAAAAAAAAAAGATTTTTTTTATTTTAAAGGCATTATTAAATTACCGAATTTACATTTGCATTAGCTTCCATACTTTTGGTCCTGTGTAATAATATAGAAAAAAAGATTTTGTTTGGTGAAAGCCTTATGCCTGCCGAGATAAATGGCCATCCCTATCATGAAAGCATTACATATTACATTACATGTATGCATAGCACTATCCATTAAATTATTCATTTTGCGGCAATTATTAATAACACCTTTCAGTGGAAAAAGTTTGCCTTTACTCAGACAGTTTCAACGTTTACAGTGTATTGGAGTGCAATGAGAAAGCCACCATCTGTGAGACATATTATGAGACATTTTTCAAACATATAATATCAAATGTTTCTTAAAACTATACCTAAAAAGTCATCAACTTAGTCTTAGAAATTTCAAGTTAATTGTCTCTCTACCAGCGAATTTAAGATGAATATGTTTTCTGTTTAGCTGTACTCTTGTGTGTACTTCTGTATGTCTGTCAATATATCCCACTTTTTGTTTCTTTGACGGCTCTCCGACATCATCAATTTTTAAGATAAATGAAACTTGATTTGAAATTAAGGAACATTGCTAAAGCAATATTCGCAGAAAACTTGTTTTGTTTAAGTTAAATAAGTATTTGAGTCATCGACATTTGTGAGGTCATTTGAGCAAGATCCTAATTTGTTGTTATCGAGGCTTTTCAAAGGATGTAAAATTACGTAGGACTCACTGAATTGTCTTTCCTCGTAGTCCATATTGTTTGCTTCATCACACATTATATTTTTAGGTTCTAGATATGTATTTCCCTCAAGTGTAAAAGTCACTTGTAATTTCGACATTAATTTCTTTTGATGTCACTGGTATGATATCATTATTTTGTTTAACATCGCTTCCTTGAGTAAATGATTCTGAGTCATCTTTCTTAAATTTTTGCATGCATGGTTCGGAATCCATGGAAACTGTTTTATTTCCATGACTATAATACCTAGTAGATTCAATGTCACTCAAATCATTTTCTTCATTTTGTTCTGCTAGTCCATCAATTGAAACAGCCTTTTTGGTTCCCTTTCTCCAAAATTCTCCTCTGCTAGAAGTATTTATTGAGAGAGTAGTCAATAAACATTTATTGTGTAAAACTCGACATTATGTTATAGTATTTTATGTTCCATGACCAGATAAATCTAATTTTTCAATTGCTGTGAAATCACAAATTTTCGTTGGGAATTAATTTTTGCTGTTTTCGTGTTATGAAGAGACCCATGAATTAATGTCCACCACGGAATGTAAAACGTTACATGCATAACTACTAAAATGTACTCCATCCCCGAAATCAAATCCCAATGAACCAAGAGTTTTTCCTCAAAACACGAAAATTTGACCCCATGAAAATATGTGATTTTACAGTCCATTGCAATTAAGTAATCAACATTCAGCAACAAGAAGATATTACAGCGCTTCTTGGAAAAGCAAAATGTATTTATTTTAAAGTAGATGCACATCTTAATGTGTTTTAAGAAGGGAGTAACTACGTACTAAGAGTAGGCGGATAATCAAATTACAATAAAATTGTAACATCCTTCGTATTTTTTTTTTTTTTTGCCTTTAATAAGCAGCCATATCCTACTAAAAATATATACTCTAAAATTTAACAATGGTAATTTAGGTCATTTCTTTTGAAGCTAACTCTTACTCTCGACGACTTTATTTCGCGATTTACTGGGCGTAAACTAGTTCGCGACGATTAATTTTCTCGATCAAGCCTTTTTTGATCTGTTGTTAATACAAGAAATGACTTTCAGGTCCGTTTAGCGGCGAGAAATATTCGCGATGACGATTCTCTCGCGAACCTCGCGAAAATTTTTTCGAATAAAAGTTGGTTTACAGTATGTATTTACCCATGTTTATATCTCTAGTTATATTTTATACCGTTTTTAAAATGTTCATAGGACACTAAAACTAAACGAGAGATATAGTTCATTGCGGTCATTACTCACCTTCTTCTATAAACATATGCACCAACAATCACTAGTACTATAAGAATTGCAAAACTACCAGCAATGGCTAGTCCCGTCTTCCACCCGGACGAATCTTCAATATATATTTCTGTTTGCGAAATAATTCCCTTTGTTACTAGTACACAAAAACACATTATGTATACACAAAAATGTTAACATTATGTTTATATATGAACAATGTCTTTATCAGGCTATGGGAGAGGTTAAAATAATGATTAGCTTTCTGTGTTGATCTTTTCTATGTTACTTTATTTTTTTCTTGATGAGACGAAGGATTCACTGAATTCATTTGACGTTGTATTTTGAAAACAATCCAAATGCATTTAAGTAGGAAAAATATTTTCAGATGATCTCCATTTACAAACAATTAATATGCAAATTCAGATCCCTTGATAATTGTTGTTACCTTTCATAGAAATATTGCATCCATAAGTCGGGGAGCAAATTCCTGAGCAATCACACTTGTTCAGACAAAAACGTCCATAATTTGTAGTAGGACAGATGAGGCAATTTTCTCCATATGTCCCCGGCCAACACTCTGATTTAAATGAAAAAATGTACTTTAGCTTTAATCAAGAACTTTGTGAAATGTATATGTTACAATCTGGTGGAATTTGTAACCTGAACTTTCTTTTGAATGAAATATATGGACAAATTAATCAAAATAAGTCTATCAGTACAAACCTTTACATTCCCTTCCGACTTTTCGATAATTTGGACAGCAACCTTTGGAACTAAAATAGATAAGTCAATCTTTAAAAAATCGTGCAATTATCAATTAAGACGGGATACTTCTCCTACATGTAGGCACTTAATCCTATTTCTAGAATTATCAGGCTCAGTGTTTGTGAACAAAAGAGTTTTTCGTAAATTTTTTGAGATCACTAGTTCCCTGACGTCACGGCGTCAGGCTGTATAAGGATTGGTATTTCCAAGATCTGAAACTGTGCGATCATATCTGGAGAGCTAGATTTTGTGCAAGCTGATTTACATTGGAATTCTTTACTTGCATTTTATAGGAAACAGCTTTCAGAATGATATTACTGATGCAAAATACTGCAGTGTCTACTTCCTTTACTATTTTTGTATGGAACAGATTATTCCATGTGATTCGCCGTTTCAACATGTCCGTGTATCCTTTTTTCTGTATTTCTATACTACTGGATCAGTCAATATATATTATACGAAAGGGGTGATTCACTCTCTTTGCGCCAAATGTCACTAGTAAGCTATCTTCGCGCCTTTTCCTTGGATTGTTCTATTGTATGAATGGGTGTGCTAACGTCCATGGAATTAAATAAAGTCTGTCCCTAAAACTTTCTTCTAATGCTTCAGAAATTCTGTCTACAAGTTTTATATTATTCTTCAAAAAACATATCGTATACATCAATATATGGACATGCAACACTAAAGGAATGATTTTTCTAATTTGTCTCCCGATCCAGCAGTTGGTTTATTCCATAAACGGACTAGTCCAATAATAATAAACAATGCAGTTCAAGTCATCATCTCCACATGCATGATCAATTACACACCTCCTAACCTCATTAGCATAAATCGGAAGAATTCGGAGATATGAACAAAATCCGTAAATGTCCGAACAGCTTTCCTCGCGAGAATTCAGCGAGACCAACATGCTACAGGTGAAAATCGAGAGAGAAATTCAACATGAAAAAGAGGTAAAACTTTATGTTATCTCGATTTATAAGATTTGTAAATTGCAAAAAGTTGACAAACAAACGTTTCTTTTCCTGAAAAGTGAAAGTAGATTTGCAATTTCTTATTATGTCAAGTGCTTTTGCACTTTAAAGTGTCAAAACAGCACCTCTCAATTTTGTAAACATGTTTCCACGTGGAAGGGAGTAGTTTATGTCGGTCAAGATTAACCCACATACATTAATTTAGTAAACAAAAACACTCATAAGTAGAATTTCATTTATTTTTTCGATTACCTGTAGCATAAAATGGCTAATTATTTTAGGACATGTTTGTCAAATGCTGTTAATAGCATGTTTTAAATTAAAGAGAAAATGCAGGTGTGCTATAGTTCGTTCCTACTTGTAAGGTAGTCTACTATGCATGCATATGCAGAGTTACGCGTATAAAAGTTATTATTATTATTTATCAATACCCACTAGTGATCTGTGAGAACCATATGTGTTTTTTTCAAATACCAAGAGACTAAATTTATTTCTATCCGTACTCGTGTGTATACACAAGAAGTTCTTCCGAATTTCCTCTACACATATACACGTGTACCTGGATATAGGATTAAAGGTTTGTGTACATTTGTTTGCAGTTTTAATATAGTGTCAGCTGTTTATATCAATCATGCAGTTTTCACTATAGCCTACTGATCAAAATATGGTTGTTACTTTTCTAATTTAGTAATTTAATATCATAGAATTTATGATCAGATGATGTCAATGCAGATATGTGTTTATATCCGGTATGAAACTTCACATATGCAGTAGCGCAGTGATTAGAGCGTCTACTCTAGAGTCAGGAAGTAAGGAGTCAATCCTTACGTCGCAAGTTCGAATCCCACTGTGGGACGTGGAGACCGGTCCTTCGGATGAGACCATATAAACCGAGGCCCCATGTCGCTGTAGGTCCTGGCACAAGAAAGATCCCTCCCTGCTCAAAGGCCCTCAGTGCCGAGCATAGGATAACATCCCAAGACAAAATGAACTGCTGTTTTCAGCTGTTAGATAGCAGTGTTTTACCAGTTTTTCAAATTTACAGCTGTTATTTAGCAGTTTTCAGCTGTTCATTTCATAGCTGTTTTCAAAACTGTTTCAAGAGCAGTAAGCTTAGCTGTTTTTAAGCTGTTCTTCAGCAGTTCATCTCATAATAGGTAATAAAAAAACTGCTTTGGAGTTAACAGCAGTTCTCTGTTTCTGTTAGCTGTTATGTATAATTTGATCGGGATTGAGAAACTGTTGAAATGTCGGGTTTGGTGTTCAATTAATTTAAACAACAGACCGCCAAAATTCAACAACCTTGGCTGCCATATTGTATAATTTGGAGAGAAGGCAAGAGAATGTTTTGAAGAGGGGGATTGCCGTCACCAATAAGACTGAGATTGGATTGCTACACCTAACAAAAGATGCAGATATTTTATATACAGTAGGTATATGTTTTTAATACATGTGTGTCTGTTGATAAATAAAAAATAAGTGCTCTAAATCTGCTACGTTTTGGCCACATTTCAGTCAGCTCAGAGAACTCTTGAAGGCTTGATATACCAAAGTTTTTTTGTTGTTGTTGTTGTTTTTTTTTTTTTTGCACTGATTTACCATAGCCTATACGATGTTTTTGTAGAAGGAGAAGATAGAGGTGGATCTAGTGATTTTCTTGGACCTGATTGGGACTTAAAAACGGGGCCTATATATATATATATATATATGAAGTATATATTTCTTTTTTTATTTTAGGAAAAGCTTTAGATATTAAAGAAAAATTTTAATTAAATCACTAATCAAATAATCATGAATGCCTTTAATCATGTCAGGGGCATAACTTAAATAAGTTATTTTCAAAAATAACTCAAATGAGTTATTTTTTTGTCTCAATGAGTTACTTCTCTTTGCTATGACCTACTTTCTCCTAACCTTAATAACTCAAACACGTTATTTTTCCAAAAAAGCTTCAATAAAATAATAACTTGTTTAAGTAATGACACAAAATAACTTAAACAAGTTATTATTTTAACTTCACACCCCGTGCACCAAAGGATTTTGCTCGTGCACCAAGACAAAAAGAAATGTTTGACTAAATTTAAACCTTGCTCAATGCAGGAAAAGTGTCCAAAGTCTTGGGAAAAGTAGGTAATTTTTTTTATTTAATGATAAAAATTGGACATATACACCATGTGTATAAAACCACAAAATAAAGTGTAAATGCTGTTTAGCTCCACCTCCTCAACAATTCTCCATTGGAGTCGGTGAACTCCATCTAGTATTACATAATGGAATCCCAAAATGCAATGCATATTGACAGGAAACACAAAATTTCCAAGAAATCAATGTCCAAGTAGGATATAAAAATAACTTATTTAAGTTATTTTTAAAAATAAAATCGTGTGTTTAAAATAACTTATTTAAGTTATTTTTTTAATAACTTGTTTGAGTTATGCCCCTGACTGATCATGATGATCATGTTAATTATTGTAAACATATTGGCACAAAATTGAAGAAAATAAACAGCTAAACTTGTATATATAAAGTTAGATTATAAAAGGTTAGCAATTAATTTGAATTTTATTTATTCAACTGTGAAACTTAGTGTGTGTTTTTTTTAACTGATAGGATTTGCAAATTGACCAAGAGCAGCTGGCAAACATTAAACATGCAGTGACCTTACAAGTAATGAAGAAGTGGAGAAAATTTTTCATTGGACAGATGGATGTGAAGAAAGCCCTGGGATATTAATTGAATTGTGAGAAATGAATCAGGAACGCAGGTAGAGAGTGGCAAAGACCAATACCATAAGATGTTCCTATTAAAGATTTAAAATTGTAGCTTTTATTAATACAAATATTGTAAAGTATGTGTAATGTACTAATCAAGATTGATATAAAAAGTCTTAATATTCTTAGTAAATATTCTATATTACTGTGTTCCAATACCTGATAGTGTTGTACTTTTTACTACCACTTGAATAGATTTCTGTTTTATTTATTATCTAAAAATGCCACATTCTTATATTTTTTTATGATAAATTATTAAATTTGTGGCTGAAGAGTTTAAACTTTCTCCATATGCTGTTCTGTATGTTTGTCAACAGATAGGAATTAGGATCCAATGCATTGGTTATGAACATAATGTGTACATTTTCTTTCATTTAAAAGTGTTGCTCTTAATAATATAATAAATTGTATATAATTATACACATTGTTGATGGTGTTGTAAATAATCATGTATGTATGCATTATGTAGCAGTTCCTAGCAGTTTTACAGCAGTTCTTAGCAGTTTTAAGTCACTGGGATGTCCATATAAGGAAATACTTGTTAGCAGTTCTCCTGAATATTAAATAGCTTACAGCAGTTTTTGAAGCAGTTCTCATTAATATTCATACTGAAAAGTCTGTTTTCACAGAGCTCATTAAAATATTTCGGCCTATACGACAGCTAAAGAACTGGGAATGCTAAATAACTGCTGTTAACTGCTATTGGAATGTGTGTATGCAAATTACGAAATTGCATAAAGTGAGTGAACTGGAATGCTAAGGAACAGCTAAAGAACAGCTGTTAATGTGAACTGGGAAGGTTAATTAACAGCTAAATTACAGCTGTTCATTTTGACTTGGGATTTGTAGCTGACCTCCACCGGCAAGTGGTGGCGTCTCCATATGAGTGAAAAATTCTTGAGAGGGACATTATAACAACATATACAATCAATCAATCACATAAAATTATGCAGTTTATGAAACTTTTTTGAATATTTCTACATGTGTACCACTATTTTCCCATTTAAAGTATTGCCCATCCAAAAGTAGCTACTGAAATATAGTATGAATATTATAAAACTAAAGGTACTGTGAGCAATGAGCTCTGACACTAAATGATACCCATCGCTTCTTACATGAATATAATGACTGTGTCCATGTTTTGCTCTGGGAAACCCCAAATATGTGGTGGATCAAAAATTAAAATAGGAGATGCACAATTGCAATGTGTAATATAGATTCTGTGAAAGTCATCAAATATCACTCAGTGGTATGAGAGGAATTAGCGGATAAAAGATGGGTACATCAAAGCATAACAGACGGACAGACATACCGATTACTTAATATATCCTCCCGCTTTTCAAGCGGGGGGTATAATAAATTACATGCATTCATGCATCAATCTGTGTAATGAAAAGATATTGTTTAAGATAATTTACATTGATGTTTTGCATTTTTGTTTGTAAGAATACAGGTATTTTATTTACATATTGTTTAATTATTTCAATGTGTTAAATGAAAAGTAATTTTCTTTTCTGTTTGTCTATTGCAGGTTAGAGTACATTTTGAACAGCCATTTCCTGGTATGACAAAAATAACACAGTTGACCCTATAAGGTAATAAACAAACATTATTGAATTTAGAAAATGTATTATAATGAAGCACAAATGTGAAATCATTGTAGACCCAGGCTAGAAATAATTTTCTTTTACTGCTCACTCAGGCATTTTACTGGTCAGCTCATCATAATATTACTATTCCACTGGCTACTAGATTTTAATAAAAAGAGACTGACCCAAAACCGTAATAATAATAATCATGATAAATGTAATATTTTTATTTTGTTTATTTAATGTGATACACAGTTGGACAAATAATTAATCTAAACAAAACAGGATTCCGAAATGACAGAACTTTGAAACAAGCCTGTCGAGTTACTAGCTCGACTATAATAATTGTATTTTGTTATACATAGACCTGACCCAAAAGACAGATGCCCCCTATCATGTACTAGCCTAGATAAAAAAAAATCACTGATCCCAGTCATGTGGGCCTTCAATTATTTTTTAGCCTTGCATTGTAAAGTCAGCTATTGAGACATTTCGTCCTTTTTTGTTGTTTTTTAATGATATGCACCAGCCCACACAAATTATACACACAAGAAAAATATTTTTTCCACTTTTAAAGTATGGGCTTTGCTGATCTTTACATGTATACAATTTTCTTTTGATGAATGACTTGTTGATTGAATTTAAAAATGGTCTTCAATGTATGCGTATGATACTGTATTAGATACACAAAAATTATAATTTCATTAAAATAAAACAAAAAAGCAAATATAAAAAAAAAAAATCAAATCAATTATAATGTGCAATGAATGTTTCTTGCAGGATATACTCTGAAGACAGTGATGTGCAAGTTCAAGGTTTGACTGTTGTGAGTATTGTATATGTAATTGTAAGGATAAATTTATAACATCTATAACAGGCAACATTATTATTTAATTATTATCATCCTGATCATGCTGATTGGAATAAACAAAGAAAAAATATTAAGCATGCCCAATTACTCTAATATCTACATGTACATGTTTATCAATGTATAAAAGAATCCTGTGTAAAGTAATATATAGTGAGAGAGAGAGAGAGAGAGATGTTGATTAAAGGGTCAATATTAATAATTGAAAATCATGCATCAGTATTTTTGTTTTTGTTTAATTCTCAAAAGATTTAATCACATTCTGTTCTATTTTCAGCAGAATTACTTTAATGATAAAGAATGGGTGAAAAAATTCTCACATCATGCTGCATAACAGTACATGTAAGTTCAAAGGCAGAAGAAAATCCAATCCATTAAAAGAGAATTTATAAATACAGTTGGTTGTCTGTTTCAGCAAACAATTTTAATGAACTGAAAATTATGCTGATACATACATCAGCATATTATGCAGACTGTAAATGATTGCATTACATATTTTTCTGATTTGCATGTAGTGCATTGATATTTGTCTGTATTTTTCATTCAGTTTTTTTTCCACATAATTGCAAATGCTTGTATGTTATTTAGATTAATTAAATTTAGAGGATTATATTAGCTTATTAATCATATTTGTAGTTCAGCTGTAACAAAACAAATTATCTGATGAAAGCTTCAACCACAAGAATCTAAGGAAAGGATGTCAAGTCCAAAGAGAAGGTAGGTATGTTGATTACTCGTGATATGTTATTGATGTAAATAGAGTACAGCAATAAAGTAGAGAGAACGATAGTGATTCGTAGACAAAAAATTAAATCTTAAATCTTCATTCTTTTCAAGAATAGGCAGGTCATGATTAGTCACTATGAGATAGTTAAGAGCAGATTTAGATTTGTTCAGATCATATAGCTATAAGGTAGGGGGGTCCACAGTTCCACAGTGGGGGATCAAAGTTTTATTCTGGAATATTTAAGGCTGAATCCTTTTATTATGAAATCTATTCAAGATTATCAGGGCCACGATACATCATATTTTTTGAACGAATACATCCTAGTACAGAATCCCAGAATCAAGGGTAATGGATGTGCCATAATTAGAAACAGAATGTTTATCTTGAAAGTCCTATGTAAATCTTGGAAAAATCATTTGGTTTATTTCTTGGCTTTTAAGTAAAGAAGAGATTAAAATGAATACAATGCCATCTGAATAAGTACAGTTAAACAACAGTATCTTAAAATCAAACAACTTTGACTACCTAGGGTATGTTGACGTTCACGACAGTATTACAAATTGGATGAATGATTTGCAAACACATGGAATTGCATATATATGATTTACTTTTGTTAATTTAATTTGCTCATTTTGCGCATATCTCTTTCTCATGCAGATTATTAATGAACAATGATAGATTGAATTAGCAACTGTAAATGGCATACCGGTACATGTAAATGAATTTTATATACCCTGTTTAGAGTTGAACTTTGGTATATATCTTTGACACTGAGTGATATCTTGAACACACTGAGATATCAAAGTCATTTTAAAGTCCCTTGAACGACATTTTATTTTCTGTATATCTTACCCTGAATCTCTTGGATATCTCAGTATTTTCAGCAGTCCCATAAGCATTTCAAGATATCAAGTGTGACTTTATTTTATTGATTCAATTAATTTATGATGAATTATAAAAATATCAATCATATTCTTTTATGTTAATGCATTAACATTTTATATTTTTCAGGCCATATAACAATGATTGCTAAATTCATGAAGACTAGCTGGGGTGATGCAGTACTTTTCTACTCTTATGAACCATATCTAAACATCATTTGAGGATCCCTTTCTCAGAAAAAAAGAATTTGCATATTCAAAGACTCTATAGTTTATCTGTATGTTGTTTAACATTCTTCTTGAGAATTTTTCACTCATATGGGGATGCCAACATTTGCCAATGGAGAGCTGCAAATTTTGTCCTTTACTTGGCACACATGGCTAATTGAGCAATGAGGGATCTTTTTGGTGCTAGCACCTACTGCAAAACAGGACGTTTGTATATACAGTCTCATTTCTATGTCCAACTGTGGGATTTCGAACCAGCAATTTAAGGATCAACTCCTTACCCATGACTCTCGAGCAGACGCTCTTGCCATTGTGCCATGCAGGTGACTTCATAGGTTAGAAAATAATAAGATAAGATTTATAACTTAAAACTGATGTTCTTAATTCAATCACAGTATAGAAAATGTTTGTAAAAAAGGAGGTAATAGCTACATGTAGCTCTCACTGGTATTGCATGCTTGAACTATATGAATTACATATTGTAATTACACATGTATTTTAAGCCAGATCAGTAAAGAAAGAAACACTTGAATATATTTACTCTGAATTTTATTATAAGGTTGATTATCTTTAAAAAATGGAACTTTAATTTTTTTTGAGTAGGAAAAAAAAGTATTTAGAATGTACATGTGCACTTAATTTTGTTTATTAAAAATAGTCAAAATTTGGAGATTTTGTGAAGGGTATCTAAATATAGATTTATAAATTTTTACTTCATTTTTAAACAGCATAATCTTTATTATAACATATGCCTGTAATATACAACTTATATGTTTTTAAACATTCCATTGTCTGTCTACATGTAGTGCTTAGTGAATTTCTTGTAAATACAAACATGATTGCATGCTGTTAGTTTACTTTGTCTTTTTTACAATATGAGTCATGATATATAATGGTGTGCATATCAGTTTAAATTATTTTTGTTGAATTCAGTTAACAGAAAAAAATTAATAACTGAATATAAATATGCAGATAGATACCTCCCAGAAATATTTGCATGTACTAGCAGCTGCAGATATGTAGCTTATGTGAAATCAGGTATACTTGAAAATCAATTTACCTGTATTTATTAAACAGAAATTTAGTGAACACATTCATATACCTATGCAGTATTTCATGCTGAAAATACACTGTGTGTTAATGTTTTACTTATTCAACATAAGAATTGACCAGAAATGAACTTGATGAAATAAAACATATCTCACAATATTTTTTTTCTCTTTTTTTTGGTCCCAATTTTATCACATTTTAAATGTATATCATATAAATTGATAAAAGAAACTGACTATACAATTTAAAAAAATCTTGAGTTGTCTTTCCTTGTGTAAAGAAAATATCTGATGCAATGAATGCTCCTTTAGGTTCATGACCCTGAATATTAATAAGGTTGGGAGGTGTGTATCATATGTCCCTGTTCAGATGCACACAACAAATGAGAAAGCACTGAGAAATCTGGGGGTTTTTTTCCTCAAAGGCCTAAATATTGAATGTACTTATCTCATTGTCAATACATGTATATAATAGTGTCACTACCCCACCCACGCCTTTTTAAGAAAAAATGATGAACACACATTCATACTGTTTACTTCAGAGGAGAAAATACACTCCAATAAAATGTGTATTTAATTATATCCATCTTTTAATTTTTTTTACAATGCATGATTTGATAACAGATTTTCTATTAGGTGTAACAATGTAGTTAGAAATCAATTTAGATCCAAGGGCAGATCACTTCACTTGCAGACCCCCCCCCCCCAAGTATAATAACTCTTAAGTATGCAGTTAAGAGATGATTCTTCTACAAGGTGAATAAAATCTAGATTTCAATTACACAAGTTTCTCAAAATATAACGTTAGAATATGTTTTAAACCTACACAAGTATTGCTCAAAAGGTTTATCACTCTTGCAGATAAATTGATTGATTTAGTCAGGCAGGCTTTTTAAAAAAAAACTGTTACTTGGACTGTTCATTATCTTCATCTTTCTCTTCATAGTTTACTGGTAAGTCATGTTAATCCGGAGAAAAATATTTAATACATGCCATTGGGAATTATCACTTCAAACAAATGTAATAGAGAATGAAATCTCTACACAGTGAAAAAAAATCGTGTGTTACAAAGATGAACAAAAGCACTTGTGAGTCCTTCAACGGAAAATATATCGTATCTACAATAAGAAAGAAAGAAGCGATGGTTTTGATTGATTGATTGTATGTTGTTTAATGATGTCCTTATCAAGAATTTTGACTCATATGGAGATGCCACCACTTGCAGGTGGAGAGCTACAAATTTTGACCTATACTCGGCACTCATGGCCATTGAGCAGTGAGGGATCTTTTTAATGCCAGTACCTATAGCGACATGGGGACCTCGGATTACATGTAAACATGTACGATCTTATCAGAAGGACTGGTCTTTACGTCCCTTAATGGGATTCGAACCCGCGACGTAAGATAAACTCCTTTCTTCGCCACTCTATTGCAGACGCTTAAACCACTGCGCCACGCCTGCGACGCGATGGCTTTGTTGGACATTGTATTCAAGGGAAAGGCATTCAGCAGATCGTTATTCACCTTAGTTATGTTGAGAAGAGCAAAGATCTGACAAATGATAAAAACAGTTTTGAGATCTTGTTACAGAGGCGCTATTTAATAGATCGAACAAAAATTGAAAATAAATTCATGCCAATATTTTATTACAATTGTGCTTACAGCAAAGTAAATAAAATTATAGAAACAGTGAATCAGTCTCTCTACCATTTAAATTATAACAAATTCTAAGAGAAATAACTCAAAAAAGACGGCGTTGGTGTACTAGTACTCTGTATCTTGTTGTTATATTTGTATTTTCAGCAAGAATTTCTGGATGCCAAACAATATAAAGAAACAATATTGTATATTATAATACATAAACATTATGAAATAAATAGTTTTTATAGAAATCTTATGATGAAAAATAATGCGAATCCGTTCTTTCAATATTTTACATAGGGGATGCATTGAGAATTGTAAAAACATTGATTTGAAAAAGTTTTTTATGGAAGGGTGGATTGGTGGGTAAAGTGCACCAGAATATAACATACACAGGATATGTTTAGTACCATTTCACCTACTCAAGACCTATTGAAAAATGCTACACGAAAACACTAATCCTTGCCAATGACTATAAATGATCAGTTTCTTAGATATGGTTTTGCAGAAATTTTAGTTTCTAAAAGTCATAATAATGCGGAAAAGGTTTTAAATTGATACCATTTTACCATTTTTAAAAGGTTTTTATTGACCTACCTTTGTTCCCACAAACATACTTCTGAAAAAAAGACACAAATAATTAAATGGACCCATAAAACAATTTAAACTCTGTCTTGGCCAGCTGAATAATAAAGAAACACAAACTTGATTTCAAATCGATGTACTCTGGATCAGGAACACATCCAGTAATTTTATCACATATTTCTACATTAGAACAGTTGCATTTTTTGCAAGGAATTTGCCCTCTGTGAATTTCCGGACAGTCTTTGCAGCAGGTACTACCAGATGGACATTCTGTAAAGAAAAATAAATCGGTGTGATTCTTTAATTTCGAATTTTGTAAATCAAAATGCATGTTTTAATCATATACCGTAAATACACATATTTTTGTGAAGTCAAATATTCCAGGTTTGGGGAAAATATTGGTTAATTGGGATTTGATTTCGTGGATAAAATTTAGTAGTAATGCATATGAAATTTTACATTTTGTGGTGGTCATAAAATCATGGTTCTCCCCATACATGTACCTCGAAAACAACGAAAATTAACCCCCACTAAGAAATAAGTGATTTCACCGTATCAATTTTTTTTACCTTTACACTTTTCTTTTCTCTCAGCAATATTTGCGCAACATCTTTTTGAAGACCTTTGGAAAAAATAAATTATTACATGTATTTCATAAAAAATCTCATACATTCAAATTTTACATACATGTATCATGCAGTTGGTTTCATGTATGAATCATCCATACAATAAAATGAAAAGGCATAAAAAAAAACCCGCAAGTGTCATACTTACATCTTTGATAAATCCTAGTTTTTCTGTGAAGACGATTAAATACTTCGTGAAGTAGAACACATTAACAAATTTGTTGTTAATGTTCAGTAATAAAACAACTATTCAGTTTTATGTCTAGTATATTTTGTAGGTTGATACACTAACATAATTTTGCAGTTTAAACTGGAAACAACATCTTCCTGTCAAGGAAATAAACTTTTTATCAGGAATTTAGACATTTATCACTCTTCAGTATTTATAAATGAACAATTATTGTACCACTTTTTACTGTTACTGGAAACATGACTAAATATAGTAATTAACTGGTTTATAACACGGAACTATGATCGAAACACATAAATGATGATCTCTATCGATAAAAGTGATGTATTTCTCTGAGAAAATTAGAAATACGGGAAAGTCGTCAAACATTTCCTTGTTTTAAAGGTTTAATGTCTTATGTGAGAATAAAAATAGTGTTTGCATTTATTTAAAAAAAAACATAAAATATTTCTTCATAGAAAAAAAGAAAAAAAAAGTTTTTAAAATATAAGTTTTCTTGAGAAAAATCTTCAGCGGTCACGCCAAAGTTAAAAAAGAAGAAAATTCGTCACAGTTAAATGTTAGCGCCATAGTAAATTAAATTTTAATTCATATATCTCAAAGAGATTTTCAAAATAGTGTACAGGTTTTGTATTCTCGTGCTAAACCGTAAACAAATACCGATTGGCCTGGCCCCTTGGTTGGCTTGTACAATCAGTTATTTTTTAGACCTTATTTTGTGGACAATTTATATTAAAAATAAAAGATAACATTAATTTTTTACACTTCCCCATAATATTTAATTCTATACATATATATTTAAGGTAAGTCACTCCTGAAATGTGTTAAATCAAGGATTTTTTGAGAATTATATTTTGGATAAGTACTCATAAAGTGTAACTCAAAATCGCAAAGAAAATAGGGGGTCAGTGTGCATCCTACTGATCTACGGTACATTTAAGTTGACCTTTTTGCACTTAAATTTCATCTCTTTGGTTAATTACTTTAACCCTTATTATATTTGATCAGATGTAAGCATGGCAATAAATATAATCTTATTTTACATAATATAGTTTGAATAATATTTATCATTAAACAAATCTTGCAAATTAATGCGCGTAACTGATTGTGTGACCTTTTTGCACTAAAAAATAACATATTTGGAGTATTAAAAAACTTAATAGGCAATACAAAAATTTCTTATATCAAACTTTTTACGACTTAAGTGCTGATCAGTCACAAGTATCGAGTAGTTTAAAATAATGAAAGGAAAAGGTGGGGTCAGTGATGTTTATTTTAAAATATTTGTCAAAATATGTGATCTTCAGGCAAAAAATGATGTACAGTCAAACCTGTATTAAGAGACCTTCCAACGGAGAAAGGAAAAAAGGTCACATATGACAGGTGGTCTCTTAATACAGGTTGCTTATTTTCCGCAGTGTTCAACAAATACAATGCTGAATACAGCATATGTGTGTATGTTGAATGTATTTTATAACACCTTATGTTTATTTAGACTTTTTAATAAGTACTGGTGAACTCTAAAATGCTTTTACAATTGTGACCTATTAAGAAATAAAAATTTCTTGATCTGCACATGAGTCATTTGAATATTGGGAAATATTGTGAACATCTGAAAAAATTAATATTTTTTCATACAGTATAAAAAAAACTGCACCCCCACCCTTAATAATATTTTTTTTTAACATTTTAGCCTACATGTATATATAACCTCGTATGTTTTGCATAAAACTAAGAATAAAAACTTATCATGATTTTTGTTATGCACTTGGTATCAAATTAAATTATATTTATGACTGAAATATTTATTTAACCTTATTAATTTTTGTTCATTACTCAACTACCGTGTCTAATTGCCTGTTTGTGATTTAAATCACTTCAATTATCACATGGTGTGGGTGCTAGCTAGCGTGTGTTTATATACCCACTGGTGTCACAATGCACTTAAATAAACATCTACGATTTATTTACGTCTTAATTAAAGTTAAACAGGCAGATTTTCTAGCTGAATATCCATTTGGCCCTTATACATCTAGCATGAAATGATATCGGGATCGACCTCGAACGTTTATTTTCAAAATGGCGCTCA